GCTAAAATGAGTCTTAGAGTCTGCGGGAGGCGTCGGTGGGGAGGCAGGTGGAGGGCGGCCTCGTCTCCCAACCAATCGCTTTCAAATCCGCCCTCTGGCGCCGCGGGAAGGGGCCGCCTTGCCCTCGCCAGCTCTGGAGCATGCGCACTTTCACCGGGGTCGTCTCGGGAATCCGGTGTTCCGGGATTTTTGCGCAGCTGGAGGGGATCCAGAGGGGCTGGCGTGGGCGGGGCTCCGGGGGCGAGCGAAGCCGCTGATTGGGCAGCTGGAAGCCCAGGTTGGGGAACCGCGGCAGACCCTCGAGGCGGGCTACTGAGTTTCGTTCAATTGTTCCGTCCCTGAACCTGCTGATCCACTCCGCTTTCGCCGAGCGCACGCGGAGTCTGGGCTCGTGCTGGCGCTGGGCGCAGGGACAAGTCGGCCTCCAGGAGTCCGCTTTCCGGCTGGCACTCTGCGGTGCCCCGCTCCCCTCTTCCTTTGTAACCGTATCGCCCTTTTTCCACTGAGTTCTCCTGGGCCAGGGTCCCCTGCCCAGGGAGGAGCCACCGGCCCATCTTAGTCCAAGGAGCTTTGCGAAGGCGCCCGTCTTGAAAGCGGCGTTGAACGCTGGGAGCCCGAGGTGGAAGCCTGGCTCGCCGCTCCATTGCTGAGCCCCTTCCATCCCTTTATCTTCGTCTCTGAAAGAAGAGTTGTTGTTTGCGGAGGGGTTGGGAAGTTTAAAGTGAACATTGGCGCTTATCTTGGGGTTGAATCCCGCCCTGTCCCTTGTTAGCTTGGGTGACTTCGGGCCGCGGGGGGCGGGGGACCCTGGTGGTCCAGCTCTGGCTGAGACTCGAGCCTAAATAGTTCCAAGGCGAAGGATTGAGTAAATCCAACCTGAACTTTTGGCTCCAGATCTGAAGCACCTTCTCCAATGAAGTATTGGTGATAACGTTGACTTGTAAACACCCACTGTTTGGTTCCTGTGTCTTATTTCTCTATTATTCCACACTCAGGAAGGGGGAAAAGGAGTGTAAGTCCCCTGCTATTAGAATAACCCACCTTATAGGGTCATTGTGGGCGGGGGGTAAGAAATTTTGCCAAGCACATTGCCCGTTACCTGCCAGGTAAATGGTAGTTGCCAAGACTGTATTATTTTGACAGAATAGCTGTGAAAGACCTGCTCACACGGCTGGCTCTTAGTGGTGCTAAATAAATGTACTTATTTAAATGAATCTCTTGTTTTGGGAACGAGAAAGTCCAGGTGAGCCGTGGCACTAGGGACAAGTACCAAGTGGGCTGCGTGGCAGGAGAGAGCCAGCTCCGGGACGTGAGAAGGGGCACGGAACTCTTCCCAATGCTGTTGGGGGATCAGAAATCCCGAGAGGTGGTGGGTTTTGCCCAATGTGCGGTGAGTATACAACCCAACCAGACCTCTTTAGGCGGGACAAGAGTCTTACACTGGGATTGCCCCAGGCTAATCAAGAGATGTGGTCACCCTATTCCAAAGCCCACAAGTAGCCTGTTACAGAAACAAGGTGGGACTTAGCTCTGCGTCATTTTGTCTCAAAGGGCTTTCCTATAGTTTGTTTGTATTTAATACCAATAGCAACCTTGTGAAGGGGTTATTCCCATTGTACCGCTGAAGACCAAGGTAGTTCGTGATGGAGTGGGGGCTCCCACCTGCACTTTCGACCCATGTTTCGGTGACAATTGTCAGCTCTACGAAGCTTCCTTGGGCACTGGTCCTCACCTTTGAGACAACGTGATCGGTAGTTTCACGGAGGCAGATTCTGCCTCGTTTTACTGCAGAACTCTCTCACCGGGCTCCACGTCATCAAACTGTTCAGGGCCCTTGCCGAGGGGCTCCTGGGGTGAGCGTGAGGCTGGACCTGATGGCCCAAGAGGCTCCTCCCCGCCTTCGGGCGTCTGCCGGTTCCCTGAGAGCAGGATTGGTATCCTCCTTGAACCCTCAGCTTTCAGAGGGGATACTCAGGACCCGTTAAAGCTGCAATAGGCAACAACGCCAGGAGCAAGGCCGTCCTGGGACGGGTCTGCTCACCCTTGTTTGATGGCTGTGGGGCCGTGGCAAGCCCTTGTGTTTTCTGAGCTTCAGTTTTCTCACTGGTAAAAAATGCAGATTAGTCTCTTCCCTCCCTTCCCCCATAGATTTGCTAAGACAATAAAATAAATTAACATAAGTAAGTACATTGTACACAGAGACACATTGTACAAAAATAGCAATGTCTTCTTTGCCAGCTTTAAACATTTCCAAATTGCTTGTCTTACCCATTTATAGACAAGATAGGAACGAAAAGGACTATGGAAAGAGCACAGGCCATGCAGTCAGACGTTGCAGACCGGAATCCCTAAATAGCAGCCACTTGCGTGATCCCAGCCAAGTGGTGCCCTTCCAGGACCTGGGCGCTAAGAATAGCTGCCTCGCATGGGTCTTGATGAGGACGTGAGCTACAATGGGTGCTCTCTGCTTGGCACACAGGTCTCCATAAAGGCTATCTTCTCCCATGTCTATTCTTTGTGCTCTATAACTGTCAATGTGTACACTTCCCACGGTGAGGAAGCCCCTGAGGGCGGCTTTTCGGAGGCAATTGCTCTCAGCGCTGCTCTTGAAATCCCTTGCTGGCTGGCTGGTTGGCACGCTGGGGAACCGCTCCCCTTGTGTTGCCCTGAAGCTGCGTTCTTTTTATAACTAATTCCCGCTCCTTGGAAAACAATTCAATAAAAACTCAATTGGCTTTCCACTGGCTCTGGGCAGGGAGGAGGAAGAACATATTATTATTTTATAAAAATATGAATAATAAATATAAAACAGCACTGGGCACAGAGCAGAGGGCCAATGAGTGCATGCCGGCTTAAAGCAGAGTGCTGGCGCAGATGGGCTTCTGTGACTGCTGCGTTCGCTGAGACAACCATTGCTGCCCTCCATTACATTTTTTAATTGGAACAGAAATGCATGCAAATGGTAAAAAAAAAAAACACAAAAAACAGAAAACGACACAAGAGAAGGAGACTCCTGGTACTGTCCTCTCAGCCCGCCCTAGAGATGCCACTGTTCACAATTCCTGTGAATATTTCCAAATATGTGATGCACATTCCAACATACGTATGTAACCCCCTTTTAAGTTTTATTTCTTTTTAACATAGAGGGGGGTAAATCCTTAAATGGCTTCTGCCTCTACGTTGCGAGCTGGGCTCCTTGGCCCTGGATCTCCGGTCAGCTGTCCCACGCTCTGAACCCGTGATGTGGATGGACAGCTGAGGCCCCCAAAGTTGGAGCAGTTTTACCCACGAGGGATGGGGACCAGCATTCCGGCCGTCTGCTTCGGGCCAGCCTCTGGGACTGTGCCCTGTGACTTTGCCTCAGTCACCAAAACGGGTCCTCAGACTCCCCTTTGATCGTTGGTGACAACGCCCTTGGGGGTTGGTCCCTGCAGTGACACCAGGCCGGGCTCTGCGCAGTGGTGGCGCGTGTTGATGCTGCAGGGAGTTTGCAGGGGCCTTGGCAGGAAGGTTCCCCAAGGAGGTGAAACGGGAGCTGCGCGCCTTAAGGGACCAGGAGGGGCGGGGACGCCGGGCAGGTCCCTCCGGTTGCCGGCCCCAAGGAGCGAGAGCTGTTCTCTGCTTCTTTGCTCTGCCGCCTAAGGTCTGCGCGGTCCTTACTGGACGTTGGTTTTGATAAATACTGTAAGGTAGCGCAGCATTTTGCAGAGGGGCTTGACCTGAACCATAGTGGGATAAGTTTAGCGAACAGAAAAAAAAATGCAATCAATATGTAATTAACCAAATACGCAGTCAATTGCAAAAACTAAATCGACAATCAATGAACTACATAGTGCAAATAAGCAAAGGTTAAAAAGCTTCCCTACAGACAGGGGACAGGGCTTTGTACAGGATTCCCTGGGCGCCTTTACTGTCACAGGTAAAAATCAAAGTTTTCTCCCAACGAGCCTTGGGTTCCTGCGGCCCGGACAGAGCGAGCCGGGACCCCCGGTGTCCGGTTACAAGCCTCCCTTCTCCCTCCTCGCCTCCTGGTCCCGTCTCCTCCTACCCCGCCTCCTCTCTCCGCCCCGCCCCACCTTCCGTGTCCCTCCTCCTCCCTCCGGCGTCTCCGAAAACCCGGGACGGAGCGCCGGCGCGGTCTGCCCCGCGCATGCGCAGAAGCGGGCCGGCTCGGCCTCCCTCCGCGCCCCCCCACCCGCCACTCGGAAGCTGCAGCTCGGTGCCCGAGCGGCCGCCGAAGCTGCTGGGCCTCGCCGCCCGCCCGCCGGCTCCTGCTCCGGGCCCAGGGCCCCCGGCTGTGTAAGTGTAAGGTGGGGCTCCCGGCAGGGGGCGGCCCGGCCGCCGGAGGGCCGTCCGAGTGTGACGGCGGGCACGGGCGCTAGTCAGCCTGCCCCGCTGAGGGGCTGCCTCCTCCCGCACCTGCCCGGACCACCTGCCCCAGCCGGGCCCCAGTTTGCACCTGTGCCAGGCCCCGGTCACACCTGTCCGGTGCCGTGTCCGCACCTGCCGAGCATCCGGCGCACACCTGCCGCCCCTGGGGCCCCGGCCGCCGCCGCCGCCTTCTCCGTGCGGCGGTCGCCCCTTCCCCTCCGGCGTCCTCTCGGCCGACGCCCCGGGGCCCGGCGGGGCCTGGGGCCCAGGGGGCAGGGTGCAGGGGTCTGGGGACCGCGCGTGAGCCGGGGCCGGGCCGGCCTCCGCGCGGGGTTGCAGCCCCCGCCCGCCGCCGCCTCCCCTGCGCCTGGACTCGGGGCCGCCCCGTCGCGGTTCCTCTTCAGTTGCCTCTGGATGAAAAGTGTTACCAACCGAGCTGGGCGGCGCGGGCGCCGGGTCCCTGCGGGGATCCTCGTGCGGGCCACTCGGTGAAGCGCAGGGACAAGTGTCCACCTTATTCTTGCCCGCGGCGCCTCCCTGTGGGGAAGCTTGCAGCCCGACGCCCCGCGGCCCAGGGGGCACGGAGGAGGGGCGATGGCCGGAAGCTAAGGCTCCGCCGGGGCGGAGGGCGCGGGGCCGCGGCGCCTGAAGCTGCCCTCGAGGGCCAGTGCCGGGCACCCGGAGGCACCGCCGCCCCCGGAGCCCCTGCAGGGTTCGCTCGGGCTGGGTAGCTTTTCTTACGCGGTGGGGCGGACTGCGGTGCGGAGGGGGAGACAGTTTTCCAGGGAGATCGTTTTCAGGTAACGGCTTTGTTGACACGTTGTTCCCACGCCGTAAGCCCACCCATTGCAGGAGAACGGCTTCCAGCTCAGGCACAGCTGGGCAGCCGTTGCGGTCGCAGGGCACAGGCACGCTGGGCGCCTCTGCTCCCCGGGCCCGGGCCGTGGAGTCGCCCTCTGTCTCCGTGGGTTTGCATATTTCGGCCATTTCATAGCAATGGGATCGGAGATCCTGTGGCTGTGGGTGCCTGGCTTCCTTCACGGAATTTTTTAGGTTCATAAAATGGTAACCTTTCCTGTCTGTCGCCGAGTGGGCCCAGGGCTGTCCAGCCTGCGGCCCGTCGTCCGCATGCAGCCCAGGAGGGCTGTGAATGCAGTGGAACACAAAATCATAAATTTACTTAAAACATGATCAGATTTTTTTTTGGGGGGGGGGGATTAGGTGTCACAACGTGTTTAATGTGTGGCCCAAGACAACTTTTCTTCCAGCGTGGCAAAGCGACGCCGAAGGGTTGGATGTCCCTGCTGGTGTGGATGCACCGTTTTTGTTTTTCCATCATCTGGTGGTGGATGCTCCTGAGGTTCCCACTTTTCCCAATTACATAAAATAATACTGCCGGGAACCTTCCTGCACAAGTTTTTGTGTCCACGTAGGTTTTCAAGTCTCTTTGGTGTGTACCTAGGAGTAGAATCACTGTTTATGTGGTAACTACATTTAAGTTTTGGAGGAACTAGTAAGGTGAAGAAACTTTAAAAATTTTTGTTTATTTATTTATTTTTAGAGAGGAGAAGGGAAGGAGAAAGGGAGAGAAACATCGATGTGTGGTCGCCTCTCATGTGCCCTCCCCACTACCCCACTGGAGACCTGGCCTGCAACTCAGGCCTGTGCCCTAACTGGGAATTGAACCAGCAACCTTTGGTTTGCAGGCTGGCACTCAATCTACTGAGCCACACCAGCCAGGGAAAGAAACATCTTTTTGTTGTTTTGATATTTGCATTAGATGAGTCACCGACACCAGAGCTGGCTCAGTGCCTGGTCTAATTTCATCACATTCTCCCTTGAAGAGACCATTTAAATACACAATTCAGTGGCTTTTAGTGTGTTTGCAGAGCAGTACAGCCATCACCACAAGCAGTTTTAGAACATTTATCACCCCAAAAAGAAACCCTGTACCCCATTAGTAGTTATATCTGCTGGGACTAATGCCCCGCCCCCATGGTGGCACTTCCGTCTCTTGGTTATTCTTGATCACAGATTAACTTGTTGCATTCCATGGAAAATCTGGTAGGAATTCCAATCCAAATAGCATTGAATCTGTGTCTCAAATTGGGGAGAATTAACATATTTATGATACTAACTTTCTCTGCCCATGTGTGTATCTGCGACTCTAGCTTTTGATTTTTACAGAGCCCGCTACACAGGATGTGCTCCCTAAACGTCTAGTATGTGAATAAGGAGACTTTGTACATCAGTTGTTTCAATTGCCGCCTTTCACAGAGGAGAACGCTAAACCTCAGTGACCTTGCATGACTCACTTCGAGTCACGAAGAGTGACAGCCAGTGCTAGCTGATTTGATGGACTTGGGGCTTGCCACGCGAGTTCTCTGCCACCCACTGCTCATGAGATGGCAGCATCCTTTTGCCAATAATGCATGCTGGTTGGCCGCTTTAAATATTATTAAGTCAACCTCATCTGTAGGTGTCTTTCCCTGGCGGGTGTCTGGGTGATTGGTGCGCCTGAGAATGAGGGTCTGAGTTTGGGAGAGCTCCATGCCTGGCACAGTGCCCACTGAGCACACGCTTGAATCGGGAAAAACCACAGTAAAGGTTGGAATTCCAGTAGGATTCACAATTCTCAATTTCTATAACCTTTTGCACATTGATAGAGCCCACCTTAATTTTGAATGCAAACATACTGCATAACTTGATGAAACGTCACGGTACAGTATTGCAGAGAGAGGGCCTTGTAGGATTCTTGTCCTTTGTTTTTGTAACCCTCGTCCTCCTGGGCCTCCCAGGTCCTTCGTCCATTCTGTGGTGCCCAGGGCTTGCTCGGTGCTGCCGGAGGCGATACTTGTAAACACGGCCCTTTGCTTGTCCGGCTGCCCTTCCCTCCTCCCGCAGCGAAGGCGTAGACTAGAGACGTGTTTTTCATGCTTCCTTTGAGAAGCATGAAACTCTCAGATCTTCTTCCATCCCCAACCCTTATGATTCTGAGATGTCCCCAACGGGTGGCACACCTCTTTGTTGAGAGGTGATTTGGTTTTGATTCTTTGCAGAAAAGACCCTTCAGAGAATTACTGCCGGGGTGGGGTGGGGGAGGCCGGCGGTGGGGAGCGTGCGAGCGGGGAATGGGGGCCTGGGTTTCGGCGCTGCCCCTGAGCGGGCCTCGCTCTGGTCTTGCCCAGTTTCTTCATCTGTAAAGTTGAGGTGATACTGAAAGGTTTAAATGAAATAATATGCATGTGAACCATTTATGTCCTGGGTAGAAACAAAGTATGTTAGCAGGCCAGGGATCTTTTTTTTTTCTAAACATAAAAATCTTGTTCACAGTCCTCTATCCATGCCTATTTGGAAGTTGGTGGAGGGTAAGGTTGAAATATAAAGTCCATCATGGGATAGGTGGCTCCAAATTACTGCCCCTGACATCCTCTTCCTCTCAGCCCAGGATGAAATTCCTGCTGTTAGAATCGTGAACAGGCCTTGTGGAAATGGCCTTTTGATGTTCTTGTTTCACCTGGCTGTGGCAGGGGGTTTTGGTGACCTGAAGGCTATGCAACGTGAAGTTCCTATTTAAGAAAAAGAAAGCAAAAGTACCCCTACACGTTAGTTACAGGGCCATGGAGGGGGCCCTGGCCAGTGGCGCCCTGAAGCCTAAAGCTCCTGGTGCAGCTGCCTCTGGCCACCGGGGCCATGCCCGTGCTCCGAGGTCGGAGCCTGCTGCCGGGCTCCTTGCGGATGTTTGTAGCGTCTGTGTCTGTCTTATGGGCGGGCGGTTTCCCTATTTGTGTGGTCTCGTTCTTATTCGCTACAGCGATCTTATCTAATCTTAATGCCTGTTTTAAATATTAGACTTTCTGTTTGGAGATATCGGTTTCTACGTGTTTGTAAGAAGTAACACTGAGGGGCCTCGGGGCCCTGCGCCCAGTCCCCCCAGTGGAACCTGCCCGCTGCACTGTGATGCGGCATCGGAACTGGCATCAGAACCGGACGTCGGCTCACGAAGCCTTTGTGTGATTGCCCTCCTTTTCCCTCGTGATTGAACTGCGGCCTAGTGTGGGCACAGGCCTGCCCCCGTCACCCACGTGGTTAGCGCGGGGTCAGGGGCTGCGCATGGTGTCAGATTTTCAGCACCCCTGTTTCCCTTGCGCAGTCTGTGGGGGTGGGTGGCATTCGGTTCATTGGGTCAGTCGCTCGCTCAGCAGACTGTCACGGGGGGCCTCCTGCAGGCCCGCTGCCGCCGTGCAGGCGCCTCATTCACCGCCCACGCCGCGGTCATCAGGCCCTCCTCTCTCCTTCTTCATCCCTCAGCGCTGACGCAGAGAGGTTGCAGGAGCGCTCCCAGGGCACCGCTGTTGTAAAGGAGGAACAGTGACTGTGTGTGGCCCCTCTTTTTATGTTGGGTCGTATGCCGGGCACTTCTCATTCGCAACCTTCTGTAATCCAGATGGGCTGTTGTTACAAGGCAACTTTTCTTGCCTCCATTATTTTGCAGGTTAGGAGCTTAGGCAGACTGGAGTTCACGTCCAGATCTTCCGATTCCATGGAGGGGGTGGGGCGGTAGTTTATTCATTTGCCCCTTCGTTCATTCGACACATATTCCTGAGCGCTGACTCCGTGCCAGTGCCTGGCTGGGTGCTGGGAGCAGAAAGTGAGGGCCAGGCCCCTTGGCGCAGGAGCGCAGAGCGCGGGCCTGGGGTGGCGGCGCTGTGGTAAGAGCCTGCAGAGCTCTGGGGGCGGACTGTGTCCCACGCCTTGCGTGGGGGCTTACTCTGCCTCCCAGGCAGTCAGCCTCAGGGTCCCCCATCCTGGAGCGGCCTTCACGGCCGCATGCGCCTCAACGTCTTCTTTTGTCTCTCCCAGTAGGGACTTCGCCATGAGTGTCCCCGATTACATGCAGTGTGCTGAGGACCACCAGACACTCCTCGTGGTGGTCCAGCCCGTGGGGATCGTCTCGGAAGAGAACTTCTTCCGGATCTACAAGAGGATTTGTTCCGTGAGCCAGATCAGCGTGCGAGACTCCCAGCGAGTGCTGTACATCCGCTACCGGCACCACTACCCACCCGAGAACAACGAGTGGGGTGACTTCCAGACCCACCGCAAGGTCGTGGGCCTCGTCACCATCACGGACTGCTTCTCGGCCAAGGACTGGCCGCAGACCTTCGAGAAGTTCCACATGCAGAAGGAGATCTATGGCGCCACACTTTACGACTCCAGGCTCTTCGTCTTTGGGCTGCAGGGGGAGGTGGCCGAGCAGCCGCGCACTGACGTGGCCTTCTACCCCAGCTACGAGGACTGCCAGACCGTGGAGAGGAGGGTCGAGGACTTCATCGAGTCGCTCTTCATCGTGCTCGAGTCCAAGCGCCTGGACAGGGCCACAGACAAGTCCGGGGACAAGGTCCCTCTGCTCTGTGTCCCGTTTGAGAAAAAGGACTTCGTGGGCCTGGACACAGACAGTAGGTAAGTTTACCCAGAGGCCCAGGATCCTTGCTTCGTCCTTGGGCTGCCTCCGGACGTCAGGAAGGGATAAGGTGGAACTTTATCGCAGCAACGGACAGCAGGGTGCAGTCCACTCCCGTTCAGACTAAAAAACTGCTCCCAGCCGAGTAGCTCAGTCGGTTAGAGTGTCGTCCTGATACTCCAAGGCCGTGGGGTCGAGCCCCGGTCAGGGCACTTAGGAGAGTCAACCAATGAGTGCACACGTAAGTGGAACAGGAAAAAAAAAGTCAATGTTTATCTCTCTTTCTCTCTCTCTCTAAAAAAAAAGAACAAATTAAAAAAATTAAAAACAGGACTGCCTTTGCTTAAGGGGAGTCCTTTCAGGATCACTGCATTCACTTATTCCCCCTTTTCAGCCAAGGCCCCTGGTGGGACCCCCAGAGCTGCTGTCCGGTTTGGCGGCCGCGGCCCCTACGGCCCTTGAGCTCCAGAGACGGGGCTGGTTTGAGCTGAGATGCGCTGTAAATAAAGTGCACGGCAGATTTGGAGCTTTAGAGCAGAAAAAATAATGTAAGATACCTCATTAATATTTTTCTGTTGATCACATGTCAAATGATAATAGTATACATAGATTAGGTTAGACAAAATAATTAAAATTAGTTTTGAGTATTTATTTTTTACCATTTTATTTTATTTATTTATTTTTTAGAGAGGGGAAAGGAGGGAGAAAGAGAAACACTGATGTGAGAGAGAAACGTCAATCTGTTGCCTCTCGCATGTGCCCCCGACTGGGGATCGAACCCACAACCCAGGCGTGTGCCCTGCCCAGGAATGGAACCGGTGACCTTTTGCTTTGCAGAACAACACCCAACCAACTGAACCACACCAGTTAGGACCTATTTTTTATTTTTTAAAATGTGGCAACTAGAAAACTTAAATTTACTGATGCGGCTCCCAGTTTGTTGCAGTTGGACAGTGCTGCCCCAGAGCACAGTTTGGAGCTCATCCAGTGTCATCCCTTGGATTTACAGATGAGAGGCTGCATTTGGAGAGGCAACAGAACTGGGTGCAGCTCAGCCAGAAGGGGGCCCGTGGCCCCTGCCTCCCCAGCTGGGCGCTGCGCATGGGCGAGGGCCCGTTGTCCCACCCGGTGGCCGCAGAGACAGAGTCAGAGTCAGGCTATCGGGAACAGCGTGGGTAGGGGGCGCCCTAGAGAGCTCCTCTCCCTGCAGGAAGGGTGTGCTGGGCAAGGCGGGGCTCCGGGCCCGTCCCCTGCAGCCAGGCTGACAGCCTCCGCTCTGCCCTCCCTGTTGCCGCTCCGGCACCGTGTGCAGCAGAGGACCAGACAGGGGCAAGCCCAGGATGCAGCTGTTGGCCGAGAGGGCGTCCCCTTGCTAGGGACGGTGCCGGGGAGCCCTGTCACTTCGGCCTCGTGCCTCGGGCCCTCTGTGTGTCGCCGTCCTCCTCTGTGGGCTGCAGGCGGCGGTCTCACAGGTGAGGAGTAAGTGACACGTGTGCGTGCTGGGCGGCTGAGGCCTGCTGCGCGTCGGAGCTCAGTGTGTTTCTTGAATTGGCCAACGGTCAAACACTACCTTTCTGGTTGTTGGTAACTTGGTGGAGAAAATGTCTCAGAATTAAGAAAAAATTGGCCCAGTCCAGCCCTGTAAGTGACAAGCACAGAGTAGCCCAAGTGAAACCTGAGTGCAGGGCCTTGCAGGGTCTGGAGCAGTTTTCATTTCTTCCCTGACACGTTTATGTGGCCTGAGGGAAGGACACGGTGGGGTGCTTGATTAGTGCAGTGGCCCTGTGGTCACACGCCAGCGCCCCGTCCCGGTCCTTGGAGCAGAGGCGGTGGCGAGGTGTAGGGACCCGGGAGCTGCCGAGGGCAGAGCTGCCACGCCCCCTGGGCTGCCAGGCCGGTCGTCCCTCACGAGAGGGGCTGCTGAGGGGCTGCACCGCACACACGCCCCGCATTCCCCTGTCGCCATGGCCTGTGGGCGGGCAGGACAGCGCGTCCCACCTGTGCAGACCGCTGAGCCTCCAGGCAGCCTGGGCGGGGCCCCGCCCTGACCTGACCCTCTTGGCTTTGTGGCTGCAGACCCACCAGAGAAAGCCAGCTTGACTGCTTTTGAAATCGAGGCTCACAGCTCGATGGGGGGCGTGAGACTTGCGGGACGTGTGCCGTGTGCCTGGTGTGGAGCGGCTGGTACCGCGAACGCAGGTTCAAGGAGCGCCTCCGTGGGCCAGGCCTGGCCCCAGGCGCCGGAGCGCAGCAGCTCACCGAGCCCTTCCCCACGGCCCATTCTGTTCCGGCTGTACCCCAGCCCCCAGCCTTCACGTGAGCGTCAGTGGGGTACCAGCGACCCCGATCAGACCCCGTCTCCTCTAGTCACTGCCGACCCCCTGTGGCCTTCACGGCTCTGTAGATTCTCTCACTTTTACCGCCACGATTTGGGGCAGGGACAGAGCCCTGTCCCACCTGCAGCTCTCGGTAGGAGTGTCCGATGGGGAGTGAGGCTGGGGTTCGCAGCTCAGAGGGACGTGCCTAGAAGTAGGTCCCGTTTCGCTTTGGCGCACTGGCCCCTCGTGGGCTCCCTGGCGGAAACCGCTCACTTCAGGCCCCGCTTCCCAGGAGCACTTGGGGCGGGTGGGTCTTTCCTATGTGTCCCCACCCCGTCAGGGCCTGTGGTAAATTCTCTTACATGGAGTGTTGTAGCTGTCAGTTATTTTTGTTCTTGTGTGTTTCTAATTTTGCTTGTTCCTCTTTCTTTTCTTTTCTTTTCTTTTCCTTTTCTCTCATACTGCCCCGTGAGTATGTTGTTGGGTCTGAAAAGGTAGGCTGTGAACACGTTGCACTGAAAATAGCCAGATTCCTTCTCTGCTGCCTTCTCATTGCCGCCATTGCTTTAAAAACAGACTTGCCGCTGCCTTGTCCCATGCATTAGCCCTGTCTTCCTTTTATTTTCTGATTTTTTTGAATTTTAGCTTCTTTAGTACGTAACCCACTGGTGTTTGAGCTCTGTGGAAGCACTCGCCTGGGGGACTCGGTTTGGTTTTACGTAGTGTCTGTGACCAGTGAGCCCTTCCTAATTTTTTCACTTGTTTGGGGAAGCGAGACGCTCGCTGATCGGGCGGCCGCAGGGGCCAGCTCACGGGCTGCTCTAGCCTGGATGGCCGAGGACTGCAGCGCCTTGCTCGAGGCCGGCTTTTAACTTCGCGCATTAGGCACGTGGTTCTTGGCTGCTGCTGGGTGAGGTGCATGGCGGTGCTTCCCGGCCGTGGTCAACTGCAAAGGGACGCTGCTGGAGGCGGCAGCCTCGGAAGTCGCTCTTGCTTTCGCCTGCCATGCCGTGGACTTCACCTTAGCGGCTTCCCTTCCTGAAGGGGCGGACACTTCTCCAAAGCTGACATTGGTCACGTGCCCCCTTGGCGAGGGTGGCTTTTCGAGATACCAGGGACGTAGGATCTGGGATCTTGAGGGCATGAGGCCTCTCTAACGGACTGTGGCATCCTTTCTCCTTAGCCACTAAGCACGCAGAGCCAGGCGCACGATCACCCTCAGCAGCTGTGCAGGCCCTGTTTGTGCCGGCCTTATCTTGGAGCCTGTGCGCTGGCAGAAACAGCCGGTTTCTGTGTTGGTTGAGGCAGGGCCTTTCCTGTCACTTTCCAGATCCCTGGGGGTCGGTGTGACGACCGCCCTGCCGGGGGCCTCCCCGCTGCTGGCTCCCTCTGGCAGGCATGACCGTTAGCCGAGGTTTCTCCCAGACCTCAGGCCCTTCCGAGTCCAGACCACAGGAGGACCATGAGTCCCTTTCGCTGGCCATCCTCTGGCCTCGTGTGCGAGGCTCGTGTGCCTCCGCTAATTGATGGGTGCAGGGGAGACCCCCCCCCCCCCGGAGAGGGCTGTGGCGCAGCGCCCCGGAGTGCGCTGCGCCCATGCTGGGCCCGCGGAGCAAAGCCGAGGTGTGCTGCGAGGCAGAAGTGGCGGGACGTGCCAGCGACTGCAGAGCGGGGCGAGGGCGGCGGGGCACCCAGGTGTGACTCGCAGGTTTTGACTTGAACGAGGACATGTGGCAGCTCCTTACTGAAGTGGGGAGGCTGGTGGGTTCTTTCCGGGGCCGCCTTCCAGAGTACATGTTGGGCGTGTTTTTAGATGCCTATTTGACATTCAAGGGACGATTTCAAAGAGGCAGTTGGAGCGTGAGCCGGGGGCTCGCTCAGGTGCAGGAGCCGGGCTGGAGGCGCTGGCCGGGAGCTGTCTGCGCTCGGCTCGCGGTCAAACCCCGGACGTGGACGAGCTCACCTGTGGCGGGCGGGGGGGGGGCGGGGGGGAGTGGGAGGGAGGGCCGTGGAGGGTTTGGGCGTTGTTCAGGGTGGCTGGGATGTGAGAAGCGGTGCTGTGCCCCCGAGGGTGCGGGGGGCGGGCAGGGCAACAGAAACTGGCAGGCACTGGCGTGGCCAGGTCGGCTTGGAGGCGCTTGTTTTCATTAAAACTCCCCACAGAGGGCAGGGGGCTGTGAAGGCTGCCGGCTGCCCGGCCTCTGGGAGAGGCGCTGCGGCGCTGGGCGCTGGGAGGCGGGAGCGGCTCTGAGCACCTCTGCGACCCGTCCGTTTGTTGGATTTGCAGAGTCCAGGGCAGGGGTGGGTACCTAGTACCAAGCAAAACATACGTACCGTTTTGGAGCCCACGAATGTCAGCAGTTGGTTCAGCTGCTGACAGAAGGTTCTAGGAACCTTCAGCAAAGAAGGTTCTAGGAACACCGCAGGGACCCCAACCCGCAGCGCAGGGGTTGGAGGCAGGGAAGGCCCAGAAGCTGACAGTTCACGTGAGCTCTAAGGGGAGCGGGAGGCAGCGGGGTGAGGGGCGGGCGGAGCCCGAGGCGCCGGGAGCTGGTGCTGCTGCCGGCTGGGGCTTGGGTGCGGGCGGCTGTGCGGGGGGGCTGGGTCGCAGACCCCTGAAGTGCCGTGGGAAGGCTGTGCTGGCGGTGTGTGTGCGTGGGCAGGGACCAAGGACAGGGTGTTAGAAGGTCACAGAGGGCTGTCGAGGTGACCAGTGGGGGAGACATGAGTGTGTCCAGCTGGAGATGGCAGAGGTGGTGCTTTCTGGGGGGGCGTTTGTTAGCGGGGCTCTTGTAGGACTGCCTGTGGCTGGGCAACACGAATGGAGCCTGGCCTGTCCTCGTCACCCCCTCTCTGCCTTCGGTCACAATCTTAGCTCAGCCACTGTTTGGAGCAGAGAGGCTAAACTCCAGGGTCGCCAAAGAGTGTGCTGAGCCCAGTAGAGTGAGATCCTATAGGATCTAACTTTGTATTGGGATCTGCCTCAGTAACGTCCATTTAGCGAGAAACCTTACGGACTAGGCTTTCACGGTCAGAGGAAATCTAATACAGCTGTGATTTTCCTTGAAAAAAAAATCATGTCTTCTAAGAAACTTAATAATGAAAAGAATAGGAATATTTAAAAATAGTAACGGGAGATTTTGGTTTAGTGTCTTTGGTTTCTGAGTCGCCAGCGGGTTAGAAGCCTTCGCATCATTCAGCAGCGCGTCCTTGCCCGCCCCAAAAGAGCCGCGCACGCCGGGCTGCCCCTCCGAGGGCATTGTCAGTGCTTGCTCTGCAGCATCAAAGATAAAGCTCTTGTTTGCAAAAGCCAAAGGCTTGGCTTGCCCCATGCTGCATAACTCGCTTCATAAAATAATAATAGGTTTGGAGTTAAGAATGTGGAAGATAATTGAGTTTTTAAAAAGCTGAGCAAACTTTCTTGTGCTAGTGTTGCAATTGGAACGTTGGGAAAGGAAAACCCTGGTCTAATATTGCCTGTGTGAAACACGCGGCAGAAGTCGTGGCTGCCTTTTGCACTGAAAAAACTGCTTGGTGGCCGCTGTGTGAGGGCAGGGCCACTGCAGCTCACGCCTGGCAGTGCTGGGTGCTGGCTTTCTATGCTAGAGCCTCCGGTTGCCTTTGTAGCATTTAAAAATCTTTCTGTAGCGAGAGGGTTGCACGCGTAGCCAGGGTGCCGCCGGGGCAGAAGTCGGGCATCCGCAGTGACCCGTCTCCACGCACTTTATTTCCCAGGCATTACAAGAAGCGGTGCCAGGGGCGCATGCGGAAGCACGTGGGGGACCTGTGTCTGCAGGCGGGCATGCTGCAGGACTCCCTGGTGCACTACCACCTGTCCGTGGAGCTCCTCCGCTCCGTGAATGACTTCCTGTGGCTCGGAGGTAAGGTGGCCTGACGGCGAGGGCCGGGCGTGTGCTCCCAGCGACTCCTGCTGGAATGGAAGGGGAGCGAGCGGGAAGTGGCTCTGAGAGGCCGGGACAGGGAGCACACGCTGTGGCCCGCTGGGTGCTGTGGGCGGTCGCCGGGCCCCCGCCGCGCCTCCTGCACCCCAGGTCTGCTGGGGCGCGCACGCACTTCCCTGTGCAGCGTACTGGCTCCTTGGTCCTCTGTTTTTTTATTTTACCGCATCCTGCCCGCTCTTCAAGGCCTTGCCCACATGTCACTGAGGGGTGGGTAAGTAGGTGGGACTTATCCAGGAGTGGGACAGGCATAAAAACGAGTGAGGCACCGGCACCTCCACAGTGTGGACGGGCCTTGGTAACGTCACGTTAAGTCAGAGGAGCCAGACACAAAGGGCCGCAGGTTGTATGAGTCCAGTGACCGGAAATGTCTGGAACGGGCGGACCCGGAGAGGCAGAGGCAGGCGGCAGGCTGCCAGGAGCTGGGCGGAGGGGCAGGGGGAGGGGGCTGACTGCTCGGGGGGACGGGTTTTCTTCTGGGGTGATGGAAATGCTCGGAGGTTAGTGGTGATGGTTGCACACCCGTGAATGTTCTAAAATCCACTGAGTCAGACGCGTTTAAGTGGATGAGTTTCATGGTCTGTGAGTCACATCTCCCTTAAAAAACTAAGCCAAAGGAAAGGAAAGAAGCCGCCCTCCAAGGGCAGCCTTTTCTGAGCCCGCCAGATGGGGGGCGCCCGCAGCGCCTCGTGCCGGGCCCTGCCCGTGCGCCCTGCGAATGGTCACTAACAGACGTGCGAGTGAGCGCTGAGGCAGGGCTCTGTGCTGGGGGACGGCGACAGTTTAGTCGGGGGCGTGTCTGCCAGCCGTTTGCGGTGGGTGGAAGTCAGAACGAGGGAGGGGAAGGGCTGCAACACAAGTTCAACAGGGTGCTGGGGACACATCGAATGTCGAAAGTACTTAGAGTGGCATTGAATGTCATGACCTGGCTTAGGACAACCGGGGACATAAAAGCAGGAAAGAAAAGGAGTGAGAGCTAGAAATAGATGGGAAAGAAAAGAGGGGCAGGTAAAGGGCTCAGCAGGGCGAGAGAGAGTGCGAGCTCTCCCTCTGGAAGGAGAGGTCCCTGCGCAGCTGCCGCGTGGCGGAGCGGGTGTGGCCGCAGCGGCCCCCAGGGCCTCTGCGTCAGGCGCCCTGCGGGCCTGGCATCTCAGGCCCACAGAAAGGCGCAGCGCGTGTCGCGCAGGCTGGGGCCGCTGGCCACCGAGCAGACCGCAGAAGCAGGTGTGAGAACCCAGCTCGCCCGTGAGCAGCCAGGTATCAAGGACACTTGTAAAGGGGTGAACAGGGCCACTCGCCCAGCATGTTACTTTTGTTTTGGAAAGTAGTTATTTTTCCAAAAATTTAATGTGTCATGGGCTTCTTATTTTTTAAACGGAATTAACACATAAACACTTAATCCTTTTATAGTTTTATTTCTGAATATGGTAAACATCTCTAGCTGTATCCCACGCATGCGCACACGCAAGAAGCTCTTTATGATCCTTAGTATTTTTCCAGAGTGTCAGAGTTTTAAGACCAGAAAAGTTTGAGAACTAATGGATGAAGAGGAACTCTGCTGTGCAACTCACGAGGCACGTGGCCTCCTTTGAGAGTCTTAGGCTATAACCACCATTGATAGAAGAACAAAATGTACTCCAAGTAAACGTGGCTGCTGTGAGAAGGAGACAAGCCCACAGGTGCTTGCTCTCGATGGAACAGATGCATTTAGGGTGTCCGATGTGGAAAGGTGTTCTGGTCCTGCTTCGGTGCTATTGCTTTTAAATATTTTCAATCCAGGGCACTTTGCATGTTGTAGAGCCAGAATCTGGCACAGAACCCGCCACACAGGGAGCACTAAACTGTCGGTTCAACGGCCGGCCAGCCGGCCGAGGGGGCTGGTCCATTCGACATGACGTGGACGCAGTCCCTCCGTGGAGCCTTGAGCTTCATGAGAGCTTCCTGTGGTGCCAGCCTCGACACCGGCGCGTGAAAGGTGATTGGGGGCATGTTCCTGTTTGTGACAAAACCAGTGATCTGTAGGCTTGACCTTTGTTTTGGGGAGAAATGGGCACTTCCACATAAAGCATTCAAAGCTTGTCAGGCGCTGCGATTTGAGCTGATGACGGCCACTGACTTTGTTAATTGCCCTTTTCTGTTTTTTATGCCCAGCTGCCCTTGAAGGGCTATGTTCGGCTTCTGTCATCTATCACTATCCTGGTGGGACCAGTGGCAAGTCCGGGTCTCGGAGGTTCCAGGGGGGCTCCCTGCCGGCAGAGGCGGCCAACAGACACCGGCCAGGTGAGTGTGCGATCGCTGCGGGCGAACTAAGTGCGGCATCTGTGGATCCGGGAATCTCACATAGGAGACATTTTCTTCTGGTTTTACTGAATATTTATCAACCGCATTGAATCTTATGAATAATATTAATAGATTGCAATGATTGGTTGATTTCTGGAACACTTGCATAAATTTCATTAGACTGACTTTGAAGTTCTGTGTCTGTGTTTTCTTCATGATTTCTGTGTATTTGATGAAGCTAATCCCCAAGGTTAGTTTTATTTTTTTTAAGATTATTTTTTAGAGAGGAAAACGGTGGGAAAAAGAGAGAGAGAAACATCGATGGGAGACACACATGTCAATTGGTTGCCTCTTGGACGTGCTAGAGTTTAGTCTGAACAGCTAATCAGGGTCTGGGCTTTTTCTCAGTCTCCCAGGTGATGAATTTCTCTTACTGAGCTAAATCCGATTTGCTTGTGTTTGTTAGCGCCGATGAAACATAAAACAAGGGGAGGAGAGGGCTCACAGATGCTCGTTGAGTGGACTTGACACTTCGACACTTACGGAATAAACTTGCCTGTAATGGTTCCAGGTATAGTTGTCACATGGTATAGGCCACAAAGATAATAACAGAGTGCAGAGGTCAAGGCTAGACACAAGACTGCTGGGTATCCTTTGTTCTGTGAGCGTTTTGGACATATGTCCCCCCGAAGAGAACGCCCCGGCAGTTCAGCGTGCGTGTGCGGGACGGGAGAGGCCTCGGACGCCGCTCTCCCCTGCGCTGTGCTGGCACCGTGGCCGGCAGAGGCTGCCTTTGCGGGCCAGGTCCTGTCGCTGCAGCCTGGACCTCGGTGCCCGCTCCGCAGAACGGACGGTGTGGGTGAACTGGAGCCGTGCTTGGAGGCAGTGTGTCATTCCTCAGCGCAGCTGCCCCTGACGATTTTAGCGGTGTCTCCGCATTGGAGAGGAAGGGGAGGCCTGCTGAGAGGCAGGGGAGGAAGCCTGGGGTCAGAGGCCGTGTCTCGGCGCCCCCACCCCCTCCCCCGCCACGTGCTCCGACTCGGACTGGCAGGCTCACCGCTGTGTCTGTTCCTGCTTATCCTCATTCCTGTCTCCAGTGCGAGGTTACAGAGTTCCAAGTCCTGCTTTGATCCCGAGCCAGCCGCTGGTGCTGTCCTGTCCTGCACACCCAGGAAGGCGGGAGCGCGGCTGTGCTGTCTCAGGAGACCGCCGTCTGGGCTGCCCCCGGGGGCGCCCCGGCGGGAGGTGGTGGCGCCACCCCTGTGATTTGAAGGTTTCGCAGCGACACTGTCCTACTGAGGCGCTGGAGGCTTTTTGGAGCAATGTTTCTTTTTTTCCCTTTGCTGAACATAAGCAAAAAGAGTTTCCAACTTTCTTGAAAAACTGCTCTGTCTGCAGAAGAGAAATGTCTTTTTTTAGCGTTGCAGAGGGACCTGGGAGTGTTTACCACTGAAGGCAGTCTCTGGGGGGCGCCCTGTGAGGCCCCGGCAGGGCTGGAGGCCACGCCGCCCGCAGGGAGGGCGGAGCCCTTGCCCCCGGTCCAGCGGAGAGGCTGGTCCACCGCCGGGCCTGATGGCAGGCGTGTGCGTCGCCCTGCAGGCTGGCTTCAGGGCGATCGGTTGGTCTGGCGTGGCGACCTCCCCTTCCATCAGGACCCTGTGGCCTCTGCCGTCTGAGGGGAGGACCAGGCGACAGCCGACCACTTAGCACTCACCCTTGAAGGTGTGCCTCGGGGTCCTTCTCCAGCAGCAGAACTGCAGAAATACAGGCGGAGGAAGCGTTTAGTCTCTCCGCGCCTCGGCGTCCTTGCCAGTCCGGCGGGGAAGACAGCCACAGCCCTCCCCTCCCAGGGCTCGCGTGAGGGCTGAGCGAGACCCACATATAAATGCCCGGCACCTGACAGACGTGGGCAGCGCTTGTCATCAGTACGGTTGACATTGGTGATACGAGTTCAGGAACAACGTTGAAAGACTTGGTCTTGTCCAGGTTACGTGGTTTTCAAGTGAGTTTCTTTGGAGAAGAGAGAATGTTTTCCCACTTAAAGTTGAGTTATCTTAGTTTCAAAAGAATTCTGTATTCTCTACCTTTTTTTTGCTTTAATTCTTCTTTTAATTTTTTAAAGCCTTTACTTTCCTAGCAACCAAGGATATGAGGCCACTAATTCTCCCCGCCCCCCCCCCCTGGAGACGTGTATATGAACTTGCAAGTCTATAATTCACGGGCACAATTTGGTTTATTAAAAGAAATCAATAGGACATTCTGCAGTCAACCCAAAAGGAAATGCCTGTCGACTAGGAACGGTTTCTCCTTTGTAGTTATTGTACTGTTTCATCTTCCTTAATTTATTAATGGCACTCATCCTCACCATCGTAACTATTACAACAGCAAGGCGTTTCCCAGCACCTGCCTCGGGCAGCAGCTGGCCACGTGCCTTCCTGCCCGCCCGCCTCACGGCAGGCGTGCGAGGGAGGGCAGGCACCAGGTCCGCCCGTGGCTGGTGCGGGGTCGGGGTTTCAGCCGTGAGGTCACCTGGCCCAAGTCACGCAGCTGGCGGGGCAGACCCGGGACTTGACCCCGGTTGGTTCACGGGCACGGCGTGCCGGCCTGGTCGGCCCCCGTCAGCTTCCCGGCCGGCTGTCACGGGGCGACGTGGGTGCTGTCAGCCGCAGGCGCCTCCAAGGCGGGGTGGCCGTGAGGGTATGAGTTGGCGGCAGAGATCAGAATGGCTCTTTATTTTTCACAGATGCTTCATTCTCAGTGAACAGCCTAAAACATCAACGTGTTAAATTCTAACTATGTTAGCACTAAAAACAAAACATTAAAATGATTATCGTGCAAAGGAGAAGTGGATTTTGAAAATCCAACCATTGCTAATGACTTACTACTTTTTTTTTCTAGTGCTACTAATTGAGAGAAAATGTTATAAAGACTGAATTGGTTGTATCTGGTCTTAAATATGGAAGAAAAAATTAAGCCACAAGGATATTGAGAGGAAGTAAAAAGCTATACCTTTTTTTCCCTGATGATATATGTTTTATGGGACTTGGGACTTTGTCAGCTTTTTGTGACCCAAGTGTACTTTTTCACTTGCGAAGGTAGAGCGACGTAATTCCCCATGTGTGACCGTGATAATTAGTTCCCACGCACGCCAAGCCCTAGGAGGCGCTCAGTGAACGGGAGCTGCCGCGGGGAGTGAGGGTGTGAGTGAGGTCTCAGGCTGCCTCAGGCTCGAGCACTGGCGGTCTCTCTTTGCTACATATTCAGTATATATACGCAGATGACGTATCTGATTACGGTTCAAGTGGTCAGGGTTCAGTTCCTTTTCTTCTGGGTGCTCCGTGAAGGTCTGAGTGCACGTGCGTCGCTGTCGTCAGGTGGCAGCCCTGCCTTCCGCGGCAGAGCTGGCAGGTTATCTGTGCGGAAGGTGTGTTGTGACAGCTCGGAGTCTGTGCGGCCCTGTGCTCACCGCAGAAGGTGCTTGGTGCCTGGGAGGTCGCCACAGCCGTTAGGCTTCACCACACCAAGTATCGAGCTGTTTCCAGAGACTGAGCTCGTCTCCTTTGCAAGTGAAGGGCATTGGGATTTGTTTTTGTACCCTTAATAGGTTTGAAAGCTCAGTCACCTGTCACTATTCCTTTACAGAGGGAACGAAAGGGGAGCCGCATGCAGTTTCAGGGTGCAAACAGGCCTTCGTGCGCCCACGGGGCTGTGCGGTGTGCAGTTGCAGCCCTGGGGGAAGCTCCTGTGAGGCGCGGGACGGTCTTTGTCGCTGGGCCGGGCGGCGTGCTGGCTTGGGCAGGGCGCGAGGCGGAAGGAGCGCGGCCTGCGGGGCCAGTTCCCTGGGTCCCCATTGCCCTGGTCTCTGGGAAACCGTGGCTTTCCGCTCCAGTGTCAGCCTCCGTGAGCCTATCTCTTGTTTGTGTGCTGGGGTGTGAAAGATTTAAATTAAGCACCAAACAGCACCCCTGTCCCCGACGCAGAATTCATGTGCTGGCTAAGCTGTTAGTCAGGGTCCGCGAACGCCCAGTTTTTAAAAACCCTACCATCGCTTGGCACCCAGGCAGTGTTTCTTCCCCCGCGACCTGGAGCACCACTGTTGGCCATAGATGGCACAGTCGCAGCTTTGAAGAGGCAGCCTCACGTCGTGGCAGACTTACACACAGCCCTTCAATGCGACTTCCGTGTGTGATGCTTCCGAACGGTGCGCTGCCTGCATGCGTGGGACAGCGGTCCTAGTCATGGCTTATTTTCATTCCGTCACCTCAGCAGAAACGTGCCAGACGGGCTGGTGGACCAGGGAAAAACCGGGCCTTCCTTCCAGTATTAGAACCCAGTCAGCCTGGCTCCTGTGAAACAGGGAGGCGCCGCCTGCAGGCTCCGGAGGGAAGGAGGCCCCGACCCCAGGCGTGGCCCCACTGCCCGTCACTTCGTGGGGGGCACCGGCTTGGGTTTGGGGGCGGTGGCTGCCGGGCCTCCCCTCTGCGAGCCGGGAGCTGGCGTCTGCGGCGCCGAGTTCTGAGGGCGACCCCTTCTCGTGAAAGGCCTCAGAAGCCGCAGCCGCTGTTTCACGGGGGCCGTTGCCGTGTGGTCTCTGTCAGCGACCAGGGGGTTGGAGCTGTAAGCGGGGTTCCGAGGAAAGCACCAACGACGAAGCGCGCGAAGGGCTCGAGGGGGGGTCCTTGGCGCCCACCCTCACGGCCCAGCAGCAGCCGCAGCGTCACCGATGTGGCCTTGGCATGTCGCCCTGACCCTGCCCGTAACCACAGAATGGCCTGTGAGTTAGAGCGTGTGGCGGGTTAGGGAGGCCCAACAGTGACATTCCTGTGTTCTCTGCCAGCCGACTGAGAGACCAGGCACAAGACTGGGCAGGAGGAGACAAACATGACTGTTATTGCTGATGAAGCTGCTTCGCCATGAACTTCAGGGACGCAGGAGAATGGGTGCCTTGGTGCTGCATCCCAGGACTAGACCGATGCCCAGGGCCAGGCAGTGCCTTCCGACAGGAGGACCCGCCCGGTCACACCCGGAGTGCGGGGCGCTCGCTCCTAGGCGCTCCCTGGGGGCGTCACAGGCCAGCTGGCCTCCCCAGGTCCCTGAGCGCACGCCCCCACCTGTTCTGTCAGGGGGCAGCGGCGGCGCAGGCCCGGGACTGCCGGGGGGGGGGGCCTTCCTCGGGGAGCCCTGTCCCCCGCGAAACAGGCCATGGGTGGACCAGAGGGTGCTCGCCAGGAACTTGTGAACCGGGAACGAGGATGTCCTCGGGGACTTAGGCTAGCGAGGAAACAGGAGGCGATTAGAGCCCAAGGTTGTAAAATCACCTTCACAGTTAACATTTATCAAACACTTAAAATGTGCTAAACACTTTTCTGATCATTTACATAAAGTTAATCCTTTAAATTCTCACAAAGGCCCAGTGAGCCATTATTATCCCAATAATTAGGTTATTATTCCAGTTTCACAGATGTGGAGGCTGAGGCGAAGAGAGCACATAATGCGACCAGGGTCCCAGAGCTAGTAAGTGGCAGAGCCGGGATTGCACCCGGCGTGCCGGCCGGGCTCCCGAGGCCGCTGCCAGGTGCGCAGCAGTGCCAGCACACGCATTGGCGCATGTGCTCACCTGGACACCAGGCAGGTGGCCACGGGAGGGGGTCCGGCGAACGCTGACTGTGGGCCTCGGCCACTGTTGCAGAGAGTGTGCTACAACCAGCCTTGGGCGCGGCTGCCCCCCAGGTAATCCAGAGGTGCCCCTTGCTCTGCCTTGCCCATGCTCACCACGCTGGAGAGGGCGCGGGAGGTTGGACTGTGAGTTTCCGTTCAGTTGAGACTTTTCTGTCTCCTTCCACATGAATACATGCGACCTGCAGTTTTCTTACAGTGGCCTCTCGTGAGCGTGGTTAACACACACTCCATCTGTTGGCGCCTGAGGACGCCAGTGATCGCCTTTCTGAGCACATGGAGGTGCTCCTGCCCCGGAGACTGGCCCTGGTCTCCCTGAGTGACCGCTTCCAACGCCAGCGATCAGCGCCGCTCCCCAGGCACGGAGCCTTCTGAGCAGGCCAGCTAGTCAGACAGCAAAGCCCACATGTTACTCTCGCTGATTAGAAAACTGAGTACCTGGAAGAGAACTTGTTAAAAAAAAGAAAAGAGAAGAGGAGAGGAGAGGAGGGCTCCCAGAAGTCCAGTTAGATGTCAAAGTCCGTTGGGTAAAAAGGTGTCCATTTTTTATGGCTGAGCTTTCTCTTCGCTCTTTGAAAAACTTCTCTGGCCCACGTGGCTCTCAGATGCACACTGGGTTTGATGAAGGGAAGGGGACGCACAGGAAAGGAGATGCACAGGAAAGGTGGCTTCAGGTGTGCGTCCCCAGCAGGGAGCAGTGATGGCCGGCTGCCCACGCGAGGCCGGGGAGACTCACAGCGCAGGGAAGTAGCTGGGAATGCTCTGCAGTCTGAGTGCGGCTGGGCCCCGCCCCGCTAGGCCGTCGCTTGCTGTACTGAGAGGTCACATCATCGAGGGTTGTGATAATGACTTAGGTACCAAAAAAGTTTCAGCCATATTTTACATTTCAAGGGTAAGGCACAGAATAATATATTTGACCAGGTTTGTCCCTGAACAGAAGGCTTTTAGGGTTATCTGGAGACGTGGCCCTGTGCGTATCTGTTAGCCAGCGTCAGGGGCGGGGGTCCTGGGGAGCAGGACGGCGGGCGCCCGGCTCCTCTGAGGTCCAGCCTCTCCCTCTGCAGCGCAGGGTCCGTCGCCCCGTCCGCCTGTGACGGCGGTCCGGCGTTGTGCGCAGTGCACGGCCACGTTCCACAGGAAGCACCTGTGTTTATTGTGACCGTGGCTTCTAGATGGCAGTGCTCTCTAGGCTGCGTTTAGAAATAGAGATTGCCAAGGGGGGTGGTGGCAGGGAATGGGGACATCTGTAATCGTGTCAACAATAACAGTGAAGGAGAAATAGACGTTGCACTACACCGGGTAGCCCAGCGCGGACCGTGACCCTGGGCCCGGTCTCTACGCAGGCGCCTGTGTAAGTACTCGGTTTCAGTCGGAGTGTCTCACGGGACAGTTCTCTGTGAATCTGTTCCTGTGTTTACACATGATCACGGCTGGTGGTAAGCATGAGTCTTGGAACTGGTGCCACTTGGGTGCGCCCTGACGTCTTCAGAAACTGCGTTCTGCAGAGGAGGCTGACCGGGGCTCGCGCGCATCGGCAGCCAGACGGTCAAGGCTTTCTGAGCATCTCGCAATAATGAAATGAACTGTTTTGCATTTTCAACTAACTACAAAGTTACTTCATGATCATTGGAAATCATCCTTAGTTTGTGAAGTGTGCGTAATTCTGTGTGTGTGTGTGTGTGTGTGTGTGTGTGTGTGTGTGTGTGTAAGACTTTAGGAAGCTTGTGATAAGTTCCACATGGCCAATTGGTACCTCTCCCCCCACCGCCGTACCCATTTTGAGGTGTGGGCATATATTTTGCACAAATGAATCATTGTTCCTACTATTCCTTTGCCCTTTGGTTTATTTATGGAAGGAACAAATTCTCATACTTGTTCGAGAAGAATTGGGGTGCATGTGCCTAGAAAGTGGGGAGGGGGAGAGGTGAGGAGGCGCTCACAGTTTGTGTAGAGGTAATGGTGGCTTTTTTTCCTTCAAAAGCAAAAAGGCACTGACCTTGTCACATGCTGTTATTCAGAATTGCTTTTCTGACCCGATAGAAGTGTCTCACATTTTTCAAGTCTATGTGAAGTAAGAAAGATGATTTAGTCGTTACCTTTAAAGCAGTTTTGTTTTCCAGATAAAAGACCGTCCTCTTTTCTTTCTTCCAGGGGCACAAGAAGTTCTCATTGACCCAGGTACACTGTCTATGTGCTTCGTTTCTTTCGGTTGTTTTTTTTTTTAAGTGCTTGTTTCATGGTGGTGTGAGTGAATGGTTAAAATGTCTGGATCGCGGTCTTTGGGACGTTCTGATTTAAGTCACTTTAAATCAGAACTGTCAAACCCTGATTATCGCTTGGTCCCTGGTTGGTGGGGCCCCCGGTTGCTTTATGTTGTCTGTTGAGGGTCTCCCTTCTCTGGCATGGCTACGCGAGTGATTTGCAAAGTGTGCTTCCCAGTTCTTTGAATGCATTAAGCATGCTTGTCCAGTTAATTCTGAATTTGTTCATAATAATGACTTTGCTCTGATCCTGTGGTTTATGCTCCTCCCACTATTAATTTGAATTTTGACCGCATTTTCTACATGTACTCAGCATGGGAAGAAATTTTGCAATTTTTACAGAGGTGGGTTTGCTTTCCCCTCTTAACACCTCCTGTGATTAATCTCTTTTATTGCAGTACCTAATTATTTTATAATGAGCTTTATTATTTTCTGGCTTAATCAGAAACAATGACAAAGAGTAAATAAAAAACTGAAAACCTGCCTTCCTTGGAACACATTGATTACATCTTGTTGTGCATCTTGATTCTGAAATGAAATGGCTTCAGATTTGCAGATTATTTTGTTCTAACATCGTGTTGAATCCTTTCCCTAGGCTGGTGCTTCGCGATCATTTCTTGATAGGGTTGGTGGAACATGTAGAGAAAGAAACAAATTCTTTGTTTTTAGGAGACCTGAGGGGCTGATGAAGGATATTTTGAGGGAGGGCGGAGGATGAGTGGCCGCCCCCCAGCCCCACGCAGGAACTGAGGAATGATGACGTCAGTGCTGGACGTTTGGCGTTTGACCAGTAGAAGCTGTCGAGCCCAGCCTGGCTCGCCGTGCCCGATGGGATGGGCTGCGTTCCACTGTGTCGGCTGCTTTACGTGCCGGAGAATTTGACAGACGCTTGTGCCAAGGAGAAGTAGCCTGGGCCGTCAGGAAAACCAGTCAGTCGTTGAGATAAAAAAAGTATATATTTTTATTTCTGAAATGTTTCCACATAAGGTTGTGCTGAGAGGCAGGTGAGTTTGGAGTGCTGGAGAGCAGGAGTGTTCTGTTCTGTGTTTCGGCGGGGTCAGGACCCTGGCCCAGAGGCCGAGGGGGTCAGGGAAGAGCGCAGGAGCCAGCACGGGGGCTCCGGGCATCGTCTGGCATGGCCCCATGAGGAACATATGGGCGTGATCGCTACTTTGAGGAAGAGCAAGCGAAGGGAGTTGGGATTCTGCTGTCGCCACGTCTCAGCTCTCCCGTGGCTTCCGCCTCTGCCCTCAGGGGCCTTCATACCAGGACTGGCCGCAGCCAGGCGCGCTTGCTAAGGTCTCACTGGAGTCCCAGCGTTGCTCTCTTCCCCGCTCCTTCCCCCGGCAGGTGTGTTGGTAGGGGTCACCCCGCAAGTCCCAGGAGCGATGAGAGGGACCCTCCTTAGTCTCTCAGCCGAGCAGCACACGCTCTCCTGAAGCTACCATGCTGTCCAGCTGCGCAGATGCCCGTGCGCAAGGCTCACACAAAATCGCGTCTCTTCCATGAAATAGAAGTCAGTAGGTGTGTTATTTGAAGCGAACCATCTTCAGTTTGTGCTGCCTGCTTTCCACAGCCAAGTCGAAGGTCAGAAGGATGAGATGTGGGTACCCTGGGCGCCAGCCGTCAGGCTGGTCACAGCCGCGGGGCCGCTGAGCCCAGCCACGCTGGAGGCCCAGTTCCCTGTGCTGCCCAGGCAGCGCCCTGGCCTCCTCTCTGACCCGCGCGCGCCCCGCGACTGCGCCAAGTGAGGTGGCCTCCGGGCCAGTGTCAGTCACCGTGAACCCGCATCTGCTGTCTAGTTTTCACGTCGAGAGGACTGCCTTCCCTCTAAATGGAAAGTCACAGTGTGTCTTCCTGTGTGAAGCTGCTGTTCTGGGCTGCCCTCTGTACTGTTTAAACAGCTTAGAGCTGTGCTGTTGACTCATTTGCATGCACAGTCCTGTGCTTCTTGCTGTGTTCTGAGCGGCACGCCCACCGCCGTCGGCCCTAGGGTGTGGTCACTGCCCCACAGGAAGCCCTGTACCCACTAGGAAGCTGCCACTCCCCCTCCCTCCCCCAGCCCACGGCCAGGCAGCCACTCCTCGGTCCCTGCGGATTTGCCACCTCCGACGTTTCGTGTTGATGGAGCCCGGGGACGTGCAGCCTTTGTGACTGGCTTCTTTCACTCAACATAACGTTCGCGAGGTTCATCCGCACCACAGCCTATGTCAGCACTTCACTTCCGTTGTTGCTGAGTAATTAACCTTCCGCTGTGTGGACGCACCGCGTTTCGTGTGCCCGGGCACCGGCGGAGGGACACTCGGCTGGCCTCTGCTCTTTGGCTGTTACGAGTACTGGCGTTATGAACATTCATGTGAAAGCTTCCTGTGTGGACGTGTGTTCTCAGTTCTCCTATGTATATGCCTAGGCGGTGGGTGCTGCGGGGCCACACAGCAGCGCAGTGTGGAGCTGTCTGAGGCGTGGCCAGGTGGCTTCCCAAGGCGGCTGCTCCGTCGGCTCCCCCAGCAGCAGCGTGAGGGGTCCAGTCCGCCGCGCCCTCCCCAGTCTCGTTCTCATGTTGCTGGCGGTACTGTCCTTGTGCCTGTGCAGTGCCGTCTCATTGTAGTTTTGACGTACATTTCTCTATAGCTAATGATATCGAATAGCTTTTCATGGTGCATACTCACCATTTGTATGTTTTCTTTAGACAAATGTCTATTCAGATCCTTTACCGACTTTTGAGTTATCTTTTTGTTACCGAGATGTAAGAGCCCTTCTTGTATCCAGGTACCGGCTCCTCGTCAGATACGCCTTCTCCTGCTCCGTGTTGTCTTGGCCCTTTCCTGATGGTGTCTTCGACGCACGGACATCGTGCGTTCCGGTCTCTGTTCTCCCCGTTGCCGGCACCTTTGGTGCCCCATCCCAGGTCAAGGTGCTTCAGGTCAACCTCCCACGTAAGGAAAGCAGTTGAAGCCTCGCACCACTGGGAGCCGGCGCCACTGTCTTGCCCCGTCGCTGCGGGGGGACGGCCCGTGGACGAGGAGCTGAGGTGCCGAGAGACCACCGGCTCGCTCAGGGCCACACTGAGGATGTGGGGCGTGGCGCTCAGACCCTCGGGCTTGTCTCCAGCCTCTGTCCTCTCGCCAGCACAAGCCAGTTTTTATAGGAATTATTTATTAAAAACACTTTGCCTGTTTGATTTCTTACTAGATTTTTTCCTAGTGGAGGCCCCATCTCTTCATTTGCCTTCCAGAGCTCAGCAGAGGTTTATTCGGGTGAAATGCAGGTGGGAGCTTCACGACCGGTTAATTTCTGCCTTTCCCTCCTGCGGGGGTCATTGTCAATGGACCCAACAGGATCAAATTCAAACCGTTTCTGGTCCTCACACCAAAAGTGGAGCCGTGACCACAGAATGCTCGAAGAACGTGTTTGATTGATTTCATTTTGCTAACCAGCGACATGGAAGACCCCAGTGCTGGCACGGATTGCACGCCTCCCAGAGCGGGGCCACTGCCTTCCTCGTATTTCGTTTCGCTTGCTCACAGAGTCCAGATAGTGCCCAGTGTCCAGCAGTGCATTAGAGTGCGGTGGCCGTGAATCACGGCCGGGGAGACCGTGACAGCAGCGCTACTGTCAGCATCGTCGGGGACGGTAACGTGGACACGGCGCTCGGAGCCCTTTAAAAGGACGGGGGCTTCGAGGAGAGTTCCATACGCCGCACACAGGCATTCCTACTACTTTTAGCTCTTAGGCATATCAAGGTTACGTAGCAGAGTAATCTCATTAGCTAGATTTGGCTAGAGAAGTAGAATATTCTTCTTAATTAAAATGCTCTGCCTTGGTTCAAGTAGTTGGCACCTGTGAGTAAACAAAAACGAGTTTGTGTGTATGTGACTCGGGCGCAGGCTCCTACCCCCCGCCCCCCGGTTTGTCGGGGCACCTCTGTAGCCCTTCAGTGATGCTCTTACCTGGGCGCTCCATGGAAAAGCCGTCTGGGCCGAGGGCAGCGCGCCGAGGGCACCTGCCGCGCACCGGCCTCCCCACCCTGGGCGGCGCCCGCAGGCCTGTCCTCTGTGCGCTCGGACTTGGCTCTCAAGTGGGATCTCCCTTCACTCCTTGGGTTTTCAGGATTTCAATGAGAATTTTTGAAGATGAGTGTTTTAGTATGTTGTGTAAATTTCCCTAGAAACTTGATGTGTTTGTACTTTAAAATTTTCAACTTACAAAAAACTTAAGTGCACTTTTGTTATTTTTCACTAGGTATTCTTTTACCTCTATGTAATTAAAACTTTTTTTTTCAAAAAGTGAGGACGTATTATGCATATTTTTAAAAAATACCTTGTTCTTCTTCCAGTCATGTTCTTTGAGGAGAAGTTAGAAAAGAAAGAAGAACAAAATAAATTTTAAACTTCTAATCTCCTCACCTAGGGATGTTATAGTAAGTTTGAAATTGGGAAGTGTAAATCCTCCAACTTTTTGTTTTTCAAGATTATTTTGGTTATTCTGAGTCCCTTGCATTTCCGTATAGATTTTAAGATCACCTGGTCAATTTCTGCAAAGGATTCAGCTGGGATTTCGATTGAGACCATGTTGAATCTGGGTCCTTTGGGGGAGTGTTGCCATTTTAAGAATTTGAAATCTTCTTTTGTGAACATAATTTTTCCATTTATTTGTCTCTAGTTTTTCCCAAAGGTGTTTTGAGCTTTTGGAGTATCATTTTATACTTTTTTGGTTAAGTTTATGTATTTTATTCTATTTGATGCTATTGCGAGTGCAATGGTTTTCTTAATTTCATTTTCAGATTGTTCATTACAAGGATATAGAAATAGTTTTTATATATTGATCTTATAACCTGCAACCTTGCTGAACTCATTTATTAGCTGTAATAGCTTTTTTCAGAGGATTACTTAGGGTTTCTATATGTAAGATCATGTCACCTGAAAAGGAGATAGTTTTACCCTTCCTTTACGATTTGGATGCCCTGCTTTACCTTTCCCCCCTAATGGTATTGTCATGACTGCCGTGTCGCTGCCTTGCTGACTTGAGCGGTGGGAGGGAACTCCTTGTCTCGTTCCTGATCTTCGAGGGACAGCATGGAGCCTTCTCCCTCTTAAGTGCGACGTGAGCTGCAGATTTTGTATCTTGACCTTGATTCCAGCGAGAACACTCTTCTATCCCTGGTTTGCTGGCTGTATTTTATAATGAAGGGGTATTGGATTTTGTCAAATGCTTTTTCTGTGTCTACTGAGATGACCGTGCGTTTTTATCCCTTAGTGGACTTACACGGCATACTGTGCTAATCAATCTTTGCATCTTAACCCGACCTTACATTCTTGGGATAAATACCACTTGGCTCTGTTGTACAGTTCTCTTGTACATTGCAGACTTAGTTTCTGGCACTTTGTGGAGGGCCTCTTCGGTTCGTTGACACTGAGTGAGGTATGTTTTACAGCCTCAGATGTGGCCCACGGTGGCGTCTGCAGTGCGTCCGCCTGGGCAGGCCGTGAGCTCTGCTGTTGTTGGAGCTGCCCGCCCGGTCTACCTGCTGCCTTTCTGGGCCAAGACACTTAGTTTCATTTTGTACTTTCCCTTCCCAGCTCAGAAATCAGACATTTGTCTAAGGTGTCCAGTCATTTTATTGGAGAATGGATGCTATTTAGAAACCAAAATCTGGGCACTCAAGTGCGTCTCGCTGCTGGGGTCCACTGCTTGGAGGCCCTTTGAGACGTTCACTCTGTTGTTTGGAGTCCGCACTGGCCTCTCCAATTCCAGCCCCAAATCCCAGGCCTCTTTCTAGTCTTCCTGCGCGAGAGACACGTCTTCCTTCCTCGGCAGGGGGAGTCGGGCTCCTGAGGCTGTCGCTGTGACAGCGAACATCTAAGGGGACTTGGGTGGTGGTTTGTGGCTCCTTCTGTCCTTGTCCTGAGGGTAAATGCACCGGGCTGCGACTGGAAGTTCCTTGGACTTGTTCTTGAATCCTCCCTGTTGGTGTAATTATGTTGTCTGTTTGGAACACAGTTAATGGCTCCTGTTTATATGCCGCTGAAGGGGCCCCGTCTACTGATTGGTAGCTTTTACTGCATAGAACATGAACAAGATCCAAAAGTCACAACTGCACAAAAGGCACACCAAAGAGGTGCGCCCCCCGCCCCCGCCTTGTGCCGCCTGCCTTGCGGGCGGTCTGCCTTGGCTGTGCGCTGCTGGGATGGGAGGGGGTACCGCACGAAGCGTGAGGCACCCCACTTGGAACCCCATTATCTTTCCCTTCCGTTCTCCAAAGGAAAACAGTAAATTCGACAGTATAAGTTGTTAGGACTAATGAGATACAGCAAGGTGACCTGTTGTCTAGTAAATGTTATCCCATGGCTGTGACAAACGTGTCAGACTCGGGAAACCCCACAGAACACGACGGTGCAGCGGTTCAAGACCTAGGCCCCGCTGGGACCCTCTCGGGAGTGACTGACCCTGTGGCCTTGTGAGCCCGTGGGGAGACTTCACGGCCTCAGACTCGATTCCTCACCTGCGGGGGGCGCAGCAGGGGTGCCTCCGTCACGGAGCTGCCGTGGTCGTAGGTGAGGGCACGTGGGGGGCCCCTAGCCGGGGTCTGGTTCCCCGGGCGTGCCGCTCGGACGGGGTCCCAGCAGGCTGCGGAAGCGCGCTGCGCGGGGCTGCGCGAGGCTGGGGCCAGGGCCGCAGCCCTGTGAGCGCCCGCCTCTGAGCGTGGGCCTTGCCGATTTGAATCTGCTCGTTAAAAAGCACATATTTTCGATATCTTTCCCAAGTATGCCCTTTTCTTTTATTATTTATAGTTCTGTATGCTCGTCTCTTGCTGTGACTTTCACAAAATCTGCAGGAAACACAATCCCCAGCCACCTGCCTCTTCACATTCCCCATTGTGGGCTTTCCTTCCCTGAAGGAAACTGGAAGGGGGTTTGGCATAGGACATTGTCTCTGTTCCCTCCTCTCGGAGTCTCTCTGTCCATCCGCCCACCCGTCCTCTGTCCATCCATCCATTTATCGGTCCTCTTATCCTTCTGTCTCATTCGAAAAAACGTTTGTGGCAGATTGCAGACCAAACAGGCAGGTGAGAAAGGCGGCCCGTGTGAGACAGTGGGGTCGCGGAGGAGCTGGTGGGAGCGCGGTAGGGGTGGGGCGCCTGTGAGCCCCGCCTGCGGGGACACCCTGCAGGGAGCGAGGAGACCGGGGTTTGTGGGGTGCTTGTCCGTGAGACGAGCGGGTGGCTTCGGGGAAGCGCAGCGTTTCCTGCTGTCGAGGCTTAGGAGACTGCTTTTTCCCGTGTTCTGTGAACTGAAAGAATATCTCACTTTGTTTTTTCCATGAGTTGTATGTGTAGCTGGTTACATTCTGGAAAGGGAAGCTTCTCCCAGACTCTTCTTGGTGTGAGTTTGCGGGTTAAGGAATTACAGGTGGTTCTGCTCTTTGGTAGGGGTTGGCCAGACGTAGGACCTGGCAGCCGCAGAAAGGAGACCGGTGTTTATAAGTTGCCTGTTTTTTTTAGTTCCATCCAGTTCAGAAAACGCTTTCATTCCACCTGTCTCCCTGGGGGGGTTCAGCGGCGTCCTGCGCCGTAGGGGCGTGCAGCCCGAGGCCGATGCGAGTGGGCTGCACCGCCTGCAGCGCGACTCAGCTCGTTGCGAGCATGGTATTTTTACATAATGCATTTCACGGTCTGTAACAGATTTCAGCAGGGAGGAGGAGGACTTACTGTGAGCTGATTAACAAGTAGTGCGAGGCTTTGATGGGGAGACTGTTGTGGGGAGTGGGTACGCTATGAGGACTTTTCAAACCGTTTCATTATTTGTATTTCACTAGGGAATGCTGTTTGCTCTTGTTTGTGCCCCCCTTTTAAACTAACAAGGACACGAGGCTGGGAAAGCAAAGGCTTATTTCTGCTCTTCCTCTGGGTCTGCAGGCGCCCTCACCACCAACGGCATCAACGCCGACACCAGCACCGAAATCGGGCGCGCCAAGAACTGCCTCAGCCCGGAGGACATCATCGACAAGTACAAGGAGGCCATCTCCTACTACAGCAAGGTGACCCTGCCGCGCCGCCGCGCCTTCCCCACGGCGCCCTGCCTGAGCACGCGGCGCTGCGGGGGCTTCTAATCCCTTCTTCCCGGGAGCGGGCAGGTGCTCCTCCCTCATGCATCGTGCTGCCTCCCCCCAACTTTTTTCTGATTCAAAATAATGTATACTTAATGTGATGTGTGGAAAAAGGGGAAAAAAGCTATCATAGCCCCACTGCTCAGAGGTGGTCATTGCTATCACTTTTTATCTGTTTTCTGGTCTTTTTGGGTCAATGTATATTATCTGTATCCTAAAAGATGGTGAGCATTCTGCACATATTTACCCTGTGGAGACCCACACGTGTCCTGGACACATCCTGTGCTTTCTGTGCCACACAGAAGGCGGCGCTGCTCTCTCGTCCCTCCCCGGCGCCCCGTCCCTGCAGCCCTGCGGGCGGTTAGCTTGGCCACGCACTGTTGGGTGAGGTGAGGGTCCGTGTGAGGGATGAGGCACCCCCCCTCCTGAGCCCCTCGTCGTTCCCTTCTTTGCTCCCAAAGAGTACATTTCAACAATATAAATCTTTGGAGGTAATGAGATAAAAAACCCATGACGTGGTTTTTAAAGACCTGTGCAGTATTCCTTCTTGTGGATGCATGATTTTTTGTACCTTGGACTTAAAAAATTATATTCCAAATACATTTAATGAAATAGCGAAAAAAACCAAACAGGTTATATAGAAGGGTGCTAGCCGGTGAAAAATGAAAGCCCTACCTTCCTTCGCTTCATTTCTTGAGAGTAACACAACCATTACTAATTCGGTGCTTCCCTTTCATGACCTTTGTGCCTATGAAATAGATTTATGAAATGATACATGTGAAACACATGTAATACGCATGCATGAAGTGCATGTAGATCTACGTTCTACTTACAAAAATGTGACCACACGTCCTATGCGATCCTGCAGCTCGCTGCACTCACTCGGAACATATCATGGGCGTTCTCCCCCTTAGCCCTGCTCGCGTCTCTCACACGGGGCGGGGACGCCGTCTCCCCTGCGGGTGTTGCCATTTGTTCGCCGACACCTTTTGTGAGAGACCGTCGCGAGCGTGGCCCGGGGCCCACGGTGGCGGGACGGGCGGGAGGCCTGGCCCTGCAGAGCTCCCTGCCGGCCGAGGGGGCTGTGGCGCTCGTCCCAGTGGCGGACCTGAGGCCGCCTCTCTCCCCACGCTCCGAAAAAGGCCCTGCTGAGGGTCCCCTACGGACGCTTTTGTATGTGATACAAGTAGGGAAAGAAAGTTAACATTCTGCGTTTTTCTAGCTGTAGTTTTGTTCTTTTGTCTCATTTACTTCTTTTCATCTTTTCTTTCCTCTTCACTCCCTCTACCAAGAGTCCGAGACTTCCCCATGCTACCCAGAGCGCTGGTTAGAATTACTTTGAAGGCTGGCCCATCACCGTGAAGAGACAGTGTTAGAAAAAACACGTGTGCACTTCTGGGACATGATCTGAGATCTGCGCGTGCATGCACCAGCCCCCTCTGCTGTCTGAGGGAGCGCCGCCCCCACGGGCCGCTGTCCCCGGGCGTGACGGTGCAGTCCCTTAGGCGGACCCTTCTTGCCTGGCTTCGTGAATGATTTTTATGGGGGAGCAAAGTGAGGTGCTTCTCTGTTTCGTACGCCTTCATCCAGTCTTCATGCCTGGACCTGAGAGGCAGGATGGAGTCAGGGGAGGGCAAATGAGAAGGACAGGCAGGGCTGACGTAGAGGCTGATACAGAGCAAGAATTCTTGCAACAAAGTAACGTGAGTTAATTATAGCTGCCTTAAGGCTGCAGGCTTGAGAGATGCTAAAGTGTTTCAGAGATGAGAAGTGAAAGTGAGTAGCAAAGTAGCCTTTGATAATATAACACTTTGAAATTTTGTGAGGCATCCAGCTATTGTGGCTGTATTGGTTGACAATGCAAACATGCTTATACAGCATTCATAGGTTCCGCCATCCCACCAGCCTCTTTTGTCCCCCTAAGGGATAGACTTTCTGAAGCACGAAACCTGCCCCTCGGTGGGATGCATGCTGGGCGCTGCTGCCGGCACCCTTGGGTCCCTGTGGTGAGGCAGGCCGCCTCCTCCCCCTTTTCTGACGGAGGCCCCTCTCTCCCTGCAGTACAAGAACGCTGGCGTGATTGAGCTGGAGGCGTGCGTCAAAGCCGTGCGTGTCCTGGCCATTCAGAAGCGGAGCATGGACGCTTCAGAGTTTCTCCAGAACGCCGTTTACATTAACCTCCGGCAGGTGGGTTTTTGCATAGCCCCTTTACCTTTTTTACCCAGCCCTCTACCAAATTTTTAACTTTTGCTTGGAGAAACAACTTTGCCCCTTACCAACTTTGCGACTTTGAGCAATCTTTATGCTCTTTACCTTTCTCTTGTCAGTTGTGGAGTGATTGTCATTTGCAACGCCATCTGGGTCGTTACATTTATAAACGTGGAGTTTGTGCAAGTCCGGCTCCTTTACACAGTAGTGTTCCACAAATACGCCCTACGTCAAGTCTGGATGTGTTTTTAATCAAACAGAATTGTTAGAGCATTCTGTTGCCGGCTGCTAACACAGAACTCCAAAATGGGTGGTCTAGGAAGATTTTAGACATTCAGCTAACTTGGACCCTGTGGGCAGGGCAGCCTAGACGGCTGCAGTGAGCCGTGTGCTGAAGGACTTGCGCCTGGGGTCAGAGCGCAGGTCCTCGCTGAGCACGAGAGTGTGCTACCCGCAGGAGGTGGCAGTGTGCTACCAGCAGGAGCCGGGACAGGGCCTCAGAGGCCCAGAGGCCCGGGAGGGGCGCAGCCAGGGCGGGGCCTTCTTCAGCCAGGGGAGGAGCTTGGCGTTTATTCTCAGAACAGTGGGCTTTAAGAGGGAGGTCTTAGGAGTGTGGAGCTCTGTGGCCCACTCGTCTCGAGTGGGATGAAGGCGATGTGGGAGGTCAGCGCGGAGCCCAGGAGCAGCCCCGGTGAGCCACACGGTGGTCCCCCCTGAGTGGCAAGGCTGTGGCGTACACAGTGAACAGATTGCTGGCTGTTCACAGATGTCCTGGCTGTGAGAAGGAAAGGCTAATCGTCGCGTGGAGGAGGCCAGAGGGCTCAGGCCTGGGTCTCTGTCTGTGTCGATCAGGCGGACACGATCGCTGTGCTTGGAGAAGGGAAAGCCCGGAGGGAGCTTCGGAGGAGGTTGGGTGGGGTGCAGAGGCTGCGGGGTCTGTGGGTCTGCGGGTTCAGGCGAGAGGGGGCGGAGTGCAGGGGGACTTCAAAGTGCGTTTATTCTTGAACGTATAAAAATGGATGAATAAGAAGACTCCTGCCTCTGCCATTCCGATGTAACACCTTAACACTCTGCCATATTGACTGCTGAGGTTCTTAAGTTTTCAAATAGAAATAAAACAGCAAATAGAAATAGTTGATCAGCATCTTAGAGTTAACGTGTATCTTTCTCGTACATATTTTGGTATTTGATATGTTTATAATCATAACCTATAAAAAGAACTATTTCAGCACGTTAAGCATATGCACTCTGGACGCAGACTGCTGGGGTTGAATCTGGTGTCACCCTCTCTGGCAAGTGACCCGCCTCTCAGAGCCTCAGTGTCCCTTCCGTTCGGAGCTTTTGCGGGCCCGGCCCCTCACCACCGCTGGTTCCGGGTGGGACTCCGGGGGGGGGGGTGCTGGGGGGTAGGTGCCTCACGGTGCCTGCGACCCAGCTGAGCGTGTCCATGCCATAGGTGCCAGCACGTCCTCAGGAAGGGGTTACGACAGGTCTTTCGTTCTACCCGGATGTCTCCGGTACAGGTGGGCAGGGGGCGCAAAAGCCTGCCGCCCCACAGTGGAAGCGTCGGGTATGGGGGAAACTGCCCGCAGGCGGTGGGCTTCGTGCTTTGGGGAGGGACGTTGAGAGACTGAAGCTGCGGGCCTACGGGCAGGCTGGCTGGGGGTGGGCTGTTGGGGGGACTTTGGAGAGGACTTGCGTCTTGAGAGTTGCTTACCCTTAAGGACTGGAGTTACTTTGCCAGTTAATGTAGAAGATTTGGGCTTTCTGTGAAGCTGTGTTCACAGGTGGGTATAGAAGCATATGTATTTTATAAAATAAGATGATTTTACATAAAATTGGTGGGAATTTGCTGCACTGGGACCAGCTCTCCTGCTCTGCTGGCTCGGTGTCCATGCAGAAGGAACACCAGGGGGCAGCAGAGGCACGTGGCAGGGGCGGCCGAGCGCTCCACAGGCGCTGGCGCTGGGTGCCCGTGGCCACCCCCCCACCCCCGCACTTGGCTGTAGTTCACGCAGCCGGTGTGTGCCTGCCAGGTGAGCAGACAGCAAAATAAAGAGTTCTGGTGGGATTTGGTGATATTAAAAAAGGGGTTGTACTGCTTATTCCGAAAGGAAGCTTTTCATTCTTGACCAAGTGTGTTCCTTTGTGGAATTGATGGGTTGTGTCTCTTCCTGTGAATGACATTGGCTGCTGTGGAAATTTTGAAAGGAACTGCGGTGTGATTACTGCGGTAGCCTCTGCTCGAAGGAGTCCCGCGCAGACAGAAGACGAGATAACGTATTTGGGTTTGGTGGTAGTTGAAGGGTTTCTGCACGTTAGCGGATTCCGGGTGGAATTCCTCTTCCTTTAGTGTGTTGTCAGCCTGTAAATTGGAGCTGATAACACTCACTTTTTCGTGGCATTGTTACGCGTTCTAACGCACAGCGCTTGGCGCGCTGCCGGGCGCGTCGCGGGCATTCCGCATGCGTGCCTGCCCCCTGCCAGTGCGTCGGAGCGAGGCTGCCCACCGGGCTGTGGGTTTGGCTGTGCCCTGTCGTCCCTGCGGCCCCCGTGCTAAGTGCAGGAGCCCCGACTGACAGAGCAGGAACCCAGGGTGAAGAAGGGTTATGTAATTTGTCCAAAGGCAGGCCGTTATGTCAGAGGCCAAGGGGCCCCGGAAGGCAGGCTGGCTGGCAAAATCCTTCACTCTGCGTTCCCTGCCGGAGCCCGGCGACGAGGCACAGTGTCACTGTCGGTGTCTGTCGGCCCTAGAACCTTCTGTGGGCGGCAAAACAGACTTGGTCCTGCTCTGCTAGCACTTCAAGTCTGGAGGGGGAAGCAGGTGCTCCATGGAGATGCGTGAAAGTAAACGATGACACACTGGGTCCTCTCTGCGAAGGGTGCTGGGGGTTTTTTAGGCTGGCTGTCCTGGGGGCACTCGGTCAGCACGTGAGGGAGACAAAAGGGCCGAGCGCCCGTTGGCCGGCACCCTGGGCCCCACTGATAGTGCTCCTGGCAAGCGGCTGCGGAGGCGTCTCCCAGCGCATCTCTGACCGCTGCTCCGGGGTTTGCGCCTGTGACTTCAGAGGCGAGAGCTAACAGTGATATTCCTGTTTCTTGACTACTCATTGGGAGTCGTAGATCAGTGGTAACTGTACAGATTGTTTCATTTACTCTTCCTAAACAATCATTAGATTTTAAAACTCCCCACTAAGAAGGAAAGTGCCAAAGTTAGTAATGTTACTTACTAACAAAATTACTAACTTTGGTCTGAACCCGGGTCTTTGTGGCTCTGTGTTCCCTCCCTGTACTACCCTTCCCAATGGCCAGGCGACCTTTTCATGTCAGCGGTTTCCTGTTGCTTCCACCACTTTCTTTTTGGTAGAGTAAAGCAGGTCTACACTTCTTTCAAGCTGGAAATGGAACGGCGACTTAGCAGCTGAGTTCCCTGGAGAGCCCACCCTGTGGCGGCAGTGGCTTGGCTCCCGCGGCTTCAAGCCGCTTCCCTGGAGCCTGCAGACACCCCCGGACTTGGCTTTTGTGACCTTGTGGCCCGCCGAACAAGTAGAACTGGGGCCTGCTGATTATTGCTCCCTAAGAGAGCAGCCGGTTGGAAATGAGTTTGGGGATTTGATTTTGTTTCAAAATGTCATGAGGATCTTGGCCTAAAGTTCTGCCTGGGACCGTTTTAAAGCCCCCAGATGCCTGGGCTGTGCCGTCTGTGCCCGCTGGCCTGGCTCATGCTGCAGAGCCCCCGCCTGGGGCTCAGGGACCCGGGTGCCCCTGCCTTTTCCATTCACAGCCTTTTTCTGACTTGTGGTGGCCGCAGTCACATGTATGGTGTCTCGGTATGTTCAAGGGTCCCAAAGAAGCACGCGAGTGTGCCTTGGCGACCGTGGTGCTACAGCCTCGCTCCTCCAGTTGGGGAGAGAGGCGGGGGGACTCGGGTAGGCTGCCGGGCAAGGCGCGGGCTCTGTTCCCGACGGTCGCCTTCATGTTAGGTGGCGGCCTCCCCGAGGGCCCTGACCAAGACTGGTACTGTGTCTCCGCAGGGACTTTGATCGCACTTGGTGGTGCCACGTGGAAGGCCTGGGAGTTCCCGGTGTGTGGTCAGGGTGTTAGGCACAACTGCCTCTCCCGGGAGGCCCCCTGCGTCCGCGGCTGTGGCTGGAGCCTCTGTCCTGGGGTCTCTTACTTTCCTGGAAAGCAGAGACTGTGCCCTTCCCAAACCTGCTTGTCCCTAGGCTCTGGACCTCAGTGTGAAGCCTCTGGAGAGGACAGTGTCTATGGGGCCCTGGGGTGGGCAAAGGCTTCTCATACCAGGACGCAGGAAGTGGGGGGACCAAGCATGGCAGTGGGCGTGGGGAGGTGGGACAGGAGGAAGGGACCCAGGAGCAGCCGACAGGCCTTCAGGTCATGCTTGTGCACGCACCGGGCTGTCTGGGAAACAGGCTGACTGTCGTGGGCAGCAAGAAGCGCTTCCATAAGCAGCACAGCCTTGCACAGGGGTGTGGGCTCCAGCTGACCTTCCTGGGCGACCCCAACTTCAGTCGGGTCTCTGACGCTTCCTGGCTGTGTGATTTTGCGCAGGCAGTCGGCTCTTCCCTGAGCTTTAGGTTCCCTCTAATCGTTCACGGGATTGTTGTCCCGGTTACAGAAGGCGTGCTGTGTTTGCTGGCGTGTGGTCTGTGCTTAAGGAGCAGCAGCTGCTCCTATGTCGCAGGGGTCCGGGGGAGTCTGGGTAGGTTGGGGGTCAGAAAGCGGCGCTTGTCTCTGCTGGGCTGTTGTCACTGGCAGGTCGCTGTGGGCCTCGCGGTGCTTGCCTCCTGTGTTGAGAAGTTTTGTATCTGATGAGAGTCCCTGCCCAGACCCGGGTACCCGGAGGAACTCGCGTTCCTTTTCCTCCTGAAGGAGCCCCAGTCTGCAGCCAGGTGCTGTGCAGCGACGCCTTCGCCCTGGGGAGTGTGGCCAGGCCAGCTCAGGGGCAGCGTGGAGCTGGCTTGCTGCACGGCGGTCAGGGGGCCTCCGTGCAAAGCTGCCTCCTGGCGGTGTCCCCTCGCCTTGCGGTGACTGGCTTTCCCGCGTGTCTTTGTTTTATAAACAAGCTGTTCTGAATTTTTCACTTTCATGTGTCTTTCAAAAGCCTTCCTCTTTCTTCCTGTGCTCCAGCTTTCGGAGGAGGAGAAGATTCAGCGCTACAGCATCCTCTCTGAGCTCTACGAGCTGATCGGCTTCCGGCGCAAGTCCGCCTTCTTCAAGCGGGTGGCGGCCATGCAGTGCGTGGCGCCCAGCATCGCGGAGCCTGGCTGGAGAGCCTGCTACAAGCTCCTGCTGGAGACTCTGCCGGGCTACAGCCTGTCGCTGGACCCGAAGGACTTCAACAAAGGTACCGGCCGTCTCGTTGCCGAGACTGGAATGTCGCTTTATTCTGTTAACCTGGCCTGGTGCGTGCACCTGCCCTGCCCGTCAGACCCGGGGGTCACAGCGGACCAGCACCCTGTCCTGCCCGGGTGCCTCACATACTTAGATGGTAACAAAAGGCTGTGGGGCGCTGCCCAGGGTCTGGCATCCCATGACCCCTGAGCTCGTTGACACCGTGGGCCATCCACAAAACACCTTCGCTGTCTAATGGATGTTATTTACTGTGTGAAATTTAGCCCAGTTAGCAAAAATCGGTCAGCCTGGAGTAAATACATATGAATGTGTGTGTATGCATACAGGTATGCGTTTGGTGTTAATCCTTAATCCGCAATATTAATGCAGGGTCATACATAGTAAAGACAAAGCTGTAAATCGAATAGCAGGGATACACAAGTTTAATGATGAGAGTCAGGCAAAGAGTGATTAGCAGGAGAAAAACATTTCTTTTTTTGCCACAGTGTTAGGTAGGAAATGCCAGCATTTTTCTCCAGTTCCTATCAGAGCCATTAGGTAGGAATAGGACTGAGGTGGCAGCTCGGTTCTTGTCCCGCAGGGCCACATAGGGCCCGTAAGTCAACCCGAAGCCCAGGGCAGACCTGGGGAAGCGTCAGGGCTGAGGGGGGTGGGGCGGGGCGCTGTGCGGGGACCGGGCTGCTGGGTTTGGGAGCCGAGGGTGACCGGAGTCAGGATGGGCCGCAGGTGACCGGACAAGCCCAGAAGCCTGTGGGTCGGGATTGGAAAGGCAGGGGCTGCTGGGGGACTGGGCGGGCGAGCGCAGAGCCCAAGCTTGCGCGGGCTACTGGGGGAGGTTCCCGGGGAGGGGCCAGCGTGGGGGAGCCGGAGAGGTTTCTGGGGCAGCCCCCTGGCTCTGCAGCGAGATGGGGAAGGGCACGTGTGCGTGTGCTCTGGCTGGGCCCCGTCCCTGGGGACTCGGGCAGGCCCGGCGGGAAGCGGCCCCTGGGCTTTCCGGGGGGGGGGGGGGTCCTCGCGGTTTATCTCTGCACCTGGCCGGTGGCCTGCAGCGCGCCTAAGGTCCCTTTGTCAGGGGTCTTCTGATGGCCCCTCCTTCCCCTGGGAGCGCTCTTCCCTGCGGGTCACCTGCTTAACTCCCAGCCACCCTCAGGCCTCACTGACAGTCAGTTCTTCCAGGCGGTCCCCTCTGGGGACCTCAGCCTCAACGGAACCTTCTTTTTCCTTCCCTGGCCCCTGCTCTTCCCTGTACCGTGATCTGTAAGCACGTTCATAAGTAAACTGGGGCGGCGATTTCATGGCCACCTCTCCGGGCCCGGGCCCCATCAGGGCAGAGACCCTGCCGCTCCCGTGCCCCCGGCACACGCAGGCGTCCCGTGCACGCGTGTGATGGGGAACAAGCCTCACGGGCAGCTGCGGTGACATATGTGGGTTGACGTTTGTTGAATACAGTTTGTTTCTTGATCTAATTTTTGAATCAGACGAGCAAAACATGTTTCTTATGGAAACTGAAGCCCGTTCGCACAGCTCCGAGGGATTCAGGGCTTTTTGCTCAGCCTCCGTCGGGGGAGGGGCGGGCACGGGGCGGGGGGGGCCTGGGGGACTAAGGTGAGGGAGGGAGAGGGGGTGAAGGGGGCGCAGTGTGTGGGCGGACACAGTTACAGTGAGAAGGGAGCGTCCCTCCAGCCCTGTCTCCACGGCTGCTGGGGCCGCTTCTCAGAGAATTAGGCAGAAAGCCACTGAAGACCTGTCCCTGTGGGCAAAGGCAAATTGTATTCTCAGGACCCGAAGGGCATTTCTACCTATTTCTTGAAACAAACGTTTCTACTAGCTAGTTAGGAAAAGTCAGTGTTGGGACACAGAGGTGTCCTGTGTGTATTTCCCAGCTTACTGGGCGACTTATTATCATTTTAATCTTATTTGTGTTGCTGTGTATGAAGATTTTTGATGCTTCCTTTTGTTCAGACTTTTCCTGAACAATGGATTAAATCTTCCTTAGGAACTCTTAGGAAGGAGACAGGCAAGGCAGGTGGATTTGCTAAAAGGCAATAGTTGGTGTAATAAACTCTCAAATTGGTGAACTTCTTAAATAGAAGAGTGTTAAAAATTTTACCACTGGGTCCTATGTTGCAAATCTGCCTTAAAAATAAAACGATTTAGATTTTGTAGGAGGAGCAATTTGAATCACATGGAAATTATGATTTCTATAGTATTTAGTGGTAAGGAAATTTATACTCAGTCTTCCTGATAATTGCCTGGGGTAGGAAGTGGATCATTATCTATTTAAAAGAAGTCAGCAATGTGGTGTTTGGCCAATTCTAAAGTGAGAAGGCCTTCCTGATGTGGCTGTGTTGAGATTAGTTAAATTGGGTCGTTTTAAACGCCTGGCTGGGTTAGTCACGACTTTGATTTCAGTATCTTAATCCTTTTTAAAACTGCTTCTTTTGCTTTGGCATTTGGTCTTAGCTTCTTTTGACCATGTAGAAACAGTTCAGGGACTTGTCTTTCTCTCCTTTTGCCACATTTGCTTTGTTTATGCCATTTTTTCCCTTTGTTCTTTGTTGAAGCATTTTACAGCCAGTCCCAGGAGTCAAGTCCTTCCCCTGCAGGCGCAAGGAGGTGCCTGGGAGCGGGCGTGCTGTCTCCCTGGGCTTCCCACGCAGCCCGTGGGTTCCCCGGGAGGCTGGGTGAAGGTGCCGGCCTGATGCACCAGAAGGGAAGGGTTGAGGGGAAACACAGCCAGGAGCTTATGGGCACCTTGCTGCGCCTGCCAGGAAGGAGCCCTTTGATCGGAGCCTTAAACCTTGTCCCCGACTTTGCTCCTGAGCCCCTGCGCCCTGGGGCACACTGCACGGGACTGACATTTTGCTTTGGATTACTCTGCTTTGTATCTTCTTCCTAAAGGATTTTGAGGTGGAAAATATTTAAGACTGGAATATTGCTGCCCAAAGTGGAATGGAATAAATAACTCTGAAGTTCTGTGATCTTAAAGAGATACCTTTTAATGGCTCGGCAAACGAATTCCCACTTTTAATTTCAAATACGCTAACTTGTTTTGGAGGAGCAGCCCAAAAGTTTGCCAATAATCTTCTTTCTCACTTATCTGCTTTTCCGTACTTCCGTTATACTTTAGAGAAATATTGTGCTTTTTGGTTTAATGTCCTTGGCTGTTAGTAACAAAGCTCATCAAATATCAGCATTCCATTGAAAAAAAAATGTCTGAAACTCAAATACGTGCCATTGGAAGCATAATCTTCTTTTAACTTTGTTGTTATTTCAAAATGGGTCATTTAAAAAACTGCCTTTGCAGAAGAGAGAAATGCATGGAAAAGCATATCGCTTTGGAAGTCTTTTCTGGGGATAAGTAAAGAAATGTTTTGTGTTGCCCCGTGAGTTTGACAGTGGCGGCCTTGCCTTTGAATCCCCGAGTTTCCCGCTTACGTGAGCCTGCCCTGTCCCGTTGCCAGCGCCGCCCTGCAGCTCTGGTCTGACGCTCTGACTTTGGTGGCAGGCATGCACCGGGGCTGGGCTGCTGTGCAGATGCGTTTGCTCCACGAGCTGGTCTACGCCTCCCGCAGAATGGGGAACCCCGCCCTGTCCGTCCGGCACCTGTCCTTCCTCCTGCAGACCATGCTGGACTTCCTGTCGGATCAAGGTGAGTGGCCGCGAACTCGGTTTTCCGAGCGAGCACGGAGGAGAACACCCTTACCGCCTGCCCCGCGCGCACGGGCCCCCGGGTGGGGATTGGGTAGGTGGGGGTGGGTGTCGGCCCTGGTTGTTTGTCGGGGAAAAAGATGCCGTGTCCACCGTGTGCCTCGCGGCCGCGGCTCCCCGGGCCCCTCTCCGCGTATGTGCTGCTGTCCTCTCCGCCCGTTGGCCTCCCGCCTGGGCCCCCTGTTCTGCCTGCGTCCTGTGAACTGCAGTTGTCAGCGCATCACCTCGATGTCGAGAAGTGTGCCCTTCGTACGAACACAGCGCAGTGAATCATCACAAAGTGATCACCCCCGTCCCCAGCGCCAGGCGGCAGACGTGCCTGGAACCACAAGCCCCCCCTGCACCCTTCGGCCCCCTCTCCCCTCAAGGGCGTCTGCCGGCTGACTCTGGGAGGGGTCCTGCGGGTCTCTGTCCCCTCGCCAAGGCCGCTTGCTCCTGGGTTCTCTCCTCCCCCACCCTCTCCTTCCCCACTTCCTGGGTGTCACCTGGATTTGGGGTTTCAGTCATCGTCTGGAGCCCCTCCTGGGTCCCAGAGCTGTGCATTTCGCTGCTGGCAGGACGACCCCCTTGCGTGGTCCGACGGTTGGCAGTTGAAAGTTGGCACGTCAGCGACGGGGCTCCTTGCCTCCCCCGCCCGCCCTTCCTGCCTGCTGCTCCCACCCACCCGCCTGGGGCCAGTGCGTGTTGCGGGCTGGGTTCTGCAGGGCGCTCTCTGTGGAGACGACGGAGGTGAAGTGCTCCCGGGGTCCTCTCCTTGGGAGGGCGCAGAGGCGGCGTGGGCGGGGGGCAGCGGGTCTCAGTGCAGTGTCCGCAGCGGAGAGCAGTGTTGGAGAGGGCAGCCCCCCGCCCCCGGGGACTCCGTCGCCCCATCCTGGGGGGCACGTTGTGGTTGTCCGCTGCCGTGCGGCCCCGCTCCAGGTGTCCGGGTCTGACCTTAGCCGCCCAGCCTCTGTCTTCCTCACCCCGCATCCCAGTGCTCACAGGTCCCAGCTCCTCTGACATTTTAACATCAAAATGCATTTCCCCCGCTTTCCCTTTCTCGCTCTCCCCCCACCCCTCTTCCCTGACCGGCCTCTCTTTCCGGCCGGTTGTGCAGGCCGCTTGGCGCCAGGATGCTCCAGGAGCGTGTCTCTCCCGGGTGGCCAAGGCCTCGCCGCAGGAACGCCAGTGGAGTGTTTGTAACAGAGCTGACTCTAAGACCTAATGATCATTAGCCTCAAACCAGGGGCTCGAGTTGCCGTCTGAGTGTCCTTGCTACATGAGGGAGAGGCCCCGTGTCATGGCCCCTGTCCCTGCTGTCACATCCAGACGTAGCACGGGTTTGAGCAGCAAGAGTTGAGCCCCCCAGCTCTGGATGACGCTCCAGGGCGGCCGCAGAGTCTGGCTGGACTCCTCTTGTGTCATCCCTTCCCCTTGGGTGTCCTTGGACCGTGTTCACTGAATGTCATGTGTGCCCTTGCCTGGCCCTTCTCTGCCCAGCCTGCCCCACCCCCTTGGCAGCCCCTTTGCTGCGTCAGCGATCTTTTCCGTGAGCGCTGGTGATGGACGACGTGTCCTCCTCGCTGGACCTCAGTGTCCTCGTGGCACGGGCCATGTCCTGTGGTCATGTGTGTCCTTGTGTGGAGAAGCCATCGCTCTCTGGGTGGGACTTTGGTGATCAAGCAAGGGGCTGCCTGACTGTGGTCCCCAGTGGCGGCTTCAGTGTGGCAGTGAGTTGCGTTCCTCTTCCTGCCCCTGCAGGGTCGGCCCTGGAGCCGTGGGGTCAGCCTGGAAGCTGGTGAGGTGCATGGTTGCACGTGGGCCTCTTTGAAGGGACAGAGGGACCGACGAGGCAGAGTCCCAGAACCGCCGGGCCTAGCGCTGGGGAGGCTGGCGCTCTGGGGTGACCAGGGCCTGCATCCGTCCATGGTCACGGTATTGCATTCTGGCCCGTGGAGCAGTGACTGGCCCCCACGACCCAGCCACTGAGAAGGCGCAGTGTCCACGCGGTGTCCTGTCCAAGTGGACTCCTCACTGGGCCTGAGAGGCGTGAGTGTCCCTTCCCCCTCTGGTCACAGGTCCGTTCTCCCCTGGTGCCACCTTCCTCACATGGCTCCCATCGATGTGTGTGGTCCTGTGGCAGGGCCCATGCCCGCCCTACCTGCTTCGACCTAGAATTTTTTTCCTTCCATACACACCGGCTCCCACTCCCAGGTGACCCCCAGGCCTGCACTCAGTCGCCAGGGAGACCAGCTCGGTCAGCCCCCTCCTTCCTGCCCCCACCCTCACCTGGGAGAACCAGCACCATCGGCGCCCGCCCTCCTCCGCAGGCTGCCCGAGAGGGGCCTGCCGGGTGCCTGCCACCACACGGGCCAGCAATCTGAGCGCACTGTGTTTAGAAGGAGGGGAGCTTGGGACGTTCGCCACTGTTGGTCACATTGCTGTCTCCTTAGAGGCCTGTGTGCAATGGCATTTGGTTAATTGCAATCTTCAGAGTGAAGACAAGAGCTATGAGGTCTAAAGGGCTCTCTCTGTTAACCTCGCCCTCTGATTGCCATAACCTCAGATCAATAATTAGGCTCTGCCCAGGCCTCTGTTTTTTCATTTGCACAACTAGGATGTTGTGCATCGTGGTGGCTTGTTATTATTTTAATGATGGATACTTTAATTTGTCGGATGGCCTTTCTCCTGGAGAGCTCATGGCACTGCTCATGGCATCGATAGTTAACATTTCTCAGTATCGCTGCACGGAAATCAACTATGGACCAGGAGAGCAGCCGAGAGGGAAGGTCCTAGTGGGCCTGAGGCGGGGTCTTTCTCGCGTCTTGTCACATGTGGGCCTGTCCTGGCTGTGTGGGTGACGGTGATTCGTTCTGGGGGGCCTTGCCCTCCCCTCCCCTCCCTGCACCCTCTGACGGGGGTGGGTGTGGGGACAGGTGCTCCCAGGGAAAGGCTGTTTCTCCCCAGGACTGGTTTCATTTTTTACGACTTACGACCTGTTACCTTCAATAGCGTCGATGCAGGGTCCCTTTGGGCGGTGCTCCCCGACTGGCGTGGGGCCCGCGTGGCCTCAGGGCAGCAGGGTGCTGAGCTCTGTGGGCTGTGAGTGCAGACCCACCGGGGCACTGGGTGGAAAGGGGGCGCCCGCCCGTGGATGGCTCGGAGTGGCCACGCCACCGCTCTCGCGGGCCGACTCTCGGTTCCACCCTGGGCTCTGGCCCCCGAAATTCTGGCAGCTCCAAACACCACAGGGGTCCTGTTCTGCTGCTTTCGTGCCTGCCCTCTGTAGCCACACGGATTTCTGTCCCGGTCGGTCCAGGGTCGGTCCCCTCTCTGACAGCAGCACTTGCTCTGGGGGGGGGGGCCCAGCCGGGGTGCCTGCTGCTGTCACACTCTCCCCACCCTGCCCGCCCAGCTCGTAAGCTCCTCCGGGGCTCCTCTTGCAGCGCTCGGGCAAGAGGACCTCGTGGGTAGCTGCTTGGTGTCGCTCAGGTCTCACCTCAGGTGGTGAGAGGCCTCCCAGGACCTCCCAACCCCAGGCAGCACCGCCCTCCCCCACGCCCCTCCCGCTGTGCTTCCCATCGCCCTGTGCCTGCGTGTGCGCCAAGCGCTGCGGGGTGGCAGCCTGCGGGTTCAGCCTGAGCTCAGATCCTTCCTCCCTTCCGGGCTGGGCGACTTTAAGCCTCGGCCTTCTTGCCCGTTTTATTTTGTAGGAATGAAACTCCATCTCCCATGTGTCGCTAGCGTCTTTGTGGGAGCAGGAGGGACAGGAGGTGGGAGGGGCTTCCTGTGAAGGGCAGGGCTGCGCCCCCACCCCCCGACCGTGGGGGTCGCTCCTCCTCCTCTCCTTCTCCTCCCCCCCCCCCCCGTGCCCTTGGTGCCGTTCGCCCGTCCTGTCCACCAGCTTCTGCATTGCCACGGTCCTGGGTTTGAGTGCCCCCGTCGCTGTGACTTTGGACAAATAGTTTAACCTCTTTCAGCCCTGGCTCTCCTACCTGCACAGTCTAGGTCAGTGCTGCCTCCCAGGGCCACTTGTCTTGCGTTCTGTGCTGAGCCAAGTGCCCCGCCGAGGGCCTGACACAGGGTGGGCTTTTTTTGTGGAGACCGTTTTGGGTGCTTATCCCTGGAGGGGGGGCGGGGGTACCCTGGTTGAGGCAGAGAGAGGGGTTGGTGTAAGTACACGGACATGGGAGCACCACGGGCACGGGGACAGTCTTTTCAGGGGCAGGGGAATGGCTTGAGCAACGAATGCTCCACGAAGGTGACCGTGACCTTGACGAACAAGTGGGGGGCCTCTGCCAGGCTGCACCGAGCGGGAGGCTAGTCTCAGGTAGAAGGGCGCGGCTGCATTCTGGTGCTGTTGCAGGCGTGCGGCGCGCTTGGGGGAGTGTTAGGTCAGCCGTGTGGCAGTGACTGTCGTCTGGGATTTTGGGAAGCCAAGTGGATGATCGGCAGTTGTACAGCATGGCCCAGCAACTCCACTCCCGGGCGTGCGCTCGCGAGGTTTGGAAGCGGGTCCGCGCAGAACCCTGTGCGCCGACGCCCATGGCGGTTCTGTGCGTGATTGGCCCCCAAGTGGAGACAATGGGCAGCTCAGGGCCGATAAATGAGCAAAGGGGCCCAGTGGCAGCCTGGGCTGCTCCTTCTCTGCCGCACCCCGTCCCCACCTCTACTCTCCTCCCTCTGTTCCTGCCTGCCTTCGCTCGGAGGGAAGCTGCCCATCCCTCATTTGTCCATCAGTCACGTCTCAGCAGACATGCCCTGTTTATTTTTTCTAGGAAGCTTTTCTTGGTCCCCCAGACGAGCTCGTCCCCTGAAGCAGTCCCCCGGGAGTATGGCGCTTGCCCATTGGAGCACCTTTCACCCACTACATTTTGATTACTTATTTAATCAACTGGCTCCCCGCGGAGGCCGCCGGCTCCCTGAAGGCACGCTGTCTAACTGCCCTGCCTGTCACCCAGG